CATTAGCACGCTGAGTACGCTCTTTTAATTGCGCTCTGTATACGTGCTCGAGGTAGCTGTCTCCAAAACGTGCCTCAAGTGCGTTGAGGAGGGCACTAAAGCTGAGATCCCCACTTGCGCCGATAGCTTCCAGCACTGAGAGCGCTTGATCACGGAGGGCCAGGGTGAGGGCTGACTGTGCTTCCTTCTGAGTCCAACCATAAGCCTCCATAAGTGTCTCAAACTGTAGCTTGAACGCGGTCCAGGATGTTGTTCCGTCGTAATGGGGAATCTTGAGCCCTTTCGTTGCGCTTAAGGCCGCATTTGGGGCGTCAAAAACGGCTGCAAGACGGCTTCGGCTCTTCAAAGGGCTTGGGTTTGTCACTTCCTGCTTGATTTTGGAGATCTCTTCTTCCAATCTCTCCTCTATCGCCATGACGCGATGTTCCAACTTGCCTAAACCTTCCTCCACTTCTTGTACCCGTTTGACAGCCTTTTGCAGTCCCTTCGTGAAATCTTTATGCATGTCTTCCAAGCGACGCACTTGCTCCTCTTGGCGACGAGCTTGATCATCTTTCAGCTCCCGCAGCTGTTCTGACTGACAGCGTGCTTGCTCTTCTTGGCGGCGCGCTTGCTCTTCTTGGCGGCGCGCTTGCTCTTCTTGGCGGCGCGCTTGATCTTTTTTCAGCTCCCGCAGCTGTTCTGCCTGACAGCGTGCTTGCTCTTCTTGGCGGCGCGCTTGATCTTCTTTCAGCTCACGCAGCTGTTCTGCCATCATTTGCCGCAGCTGTAGCAGAAGATCCATCTGCACAGGCTTGGCTTCTGCATTGCTGGTCTGAGCTGCAGCACCCTCTTCCCTCACACGCTGCGCTTCTGACATAGCACGGGTACTCACTCCTCTTACGTCCTGCGGCACTAGCGGCATTTTTCTCCAATCCCACTTCTGACACCAAATGTTACGTGCCTGACGTCACGTTCCTAACTATGCGGGCTTGGGTTACGGGATTGGATGAAATTAAACACTAATACCGGTTTTCAGACTTTCTATTGCACTTAAGTGACAGCGTCCACGGATACGGATAAGTTATTGGCGTTCCTCTCCAGCAGAGTCCGGCCGACTGACACAACTTTGCCGTTCACTGTTCACGCTGACTTAACTCACTTAACTGACTGCACTTCACTATTTCACTGTACTTCACTATTTCACTCACTTTTCTTCTTTTCACTTCTTCCTTTTCTTCCGAATCGCTTTGGACTTAGAACTCAACTGCCAGCGGTGAGCCGCAGTTCCGCTTATATACCCCCGGTCAGGTTCTAGAACATTCAATTTCGTTATTCTTTTTGATCGTCATGCCTCCAGAACCTTCCAATAATTTCGTTATTCATTTTTATTTATTCTCCTTCTCGCTCCTTAATTTTTCATTACTTTCACTCAAATATTCCAGAAAGTTCGACAAAACTTCTATCAACTAAAAAACTTCATGTTTACGGCGAGACTCGAACTCGGGGTCTCTGTGGTGTAATCCACACGCCTTACCGATTACACCAACTCGTGTTGACAATTCACGACGAAATTTACAATCTCTAGGCAACGTTTGACAACCATCCATTGACGTCATGATGTCAAAGAGTTTTCTGTCACAATATTAAAACAAGTTAAATAATTTTCATTATTATTGAGTTTATGATTTTGAGAACTACTTTCTTTTAAATGATGGAGTAGGTATTTATGCCTAATAGAGAATCAGTTAAAATCAACAAGCTACTATGATTGGACAAAAAGGACCTAAAACTGAACTAACGCCATCTAGTGAACAAAAAACGGCAGTCTTCATACTCAGACTGTCGACCCGACATATTGCCGAACTAACATACAAAACTATATTACTAACATAAATATCTATGTTATAATGTAGAGCATAACACAGGCGTGCTAAATTCAACCTTGTAACTTTGTATTAAGTTACAAAATAATGTATTTTCTTACCTTTAAGCTATTGTATGATTTCTAGCTTACTAATTTCAATGGTTTTATGAAAAATTAAGGAAAATGATATATTTTATGTGTCAAAAGTGATCATTGGATGATTGATGATCAAGTCATTTTAATTATTATCATTATACTAAAGATATTTCATATTTCCAACTACTAACAATACATAATTTTTTCGAAACTTCAAAATCGTAATTTTTTTGTTCAGATATTTGCCAGAGCTTTGCCCTCTCATATATTAGATAGAAAAATACGAAAACTACTCATGTATATCATCGAATTAATAAATCAAAGAGAAAATAATTTGAAAAGGCGAAATAATTATTACAAAGGTAGACTGGTAGATACTGTTAAATGTATAATCAAATATTCTTTCGAAGTAGAATGAAAATCATATTGTAAACAGTTCTATATTGAAAGTTCAGAAAAAAAAAACTTAATTTGAGGAAAAAATATTACAATTTTGATAAAAAAAATCAAAACCTATTTTTTCTTTGACATAGCGATAAATAAGGGAGTCTTTCAGATTAAAATAGGTTTTAAAAACAACATTTGTAATAGTATGCCAACCAAGTATTTATTTATTACACACATCGCATGGAATTTATATAAAATACCTTATTAAGGGCCAATTTTTCAATGGTTAGATAAAAGTTACCTGGGGAAAAATTATGATGCTGTCGCGTCACAATGTTTGTATAAGACAGTGACAGCAACAATTTTATTCCTCAGATAACATTTATCTGACTATTGAAAAATAAGCACTTTGTATAACATGATATTGTTAAATGTTTGTATTTACCACAACAGGTAACTGAGCAATTCATTATTTACTATTTACGCAAATCACAAAGAAATTAATGAAAACAACTTATGTACAATAATATTTAAAATTTTGCTATGAATATTACCAAGCTATTTATGGTATGTCACATTGAATTAGGTATTTAACTAAATGTAAACAATCTTACAATGTCTTTTTATATAAAAACTAGCTACTCTCACGCTGTTTCACCCGCTACTCGGCTCCTTTTAATCGTAGCGTGATATTTTATAGCCTATAGCACTCAGGAACATTGTAGCTATCTATCAGTGAAAGAATTTTGGCAATCTGACCAGCGGTTCCAAAGATTACCCCCTACATATAAACTTACAAATTTTAACTCTTTATAATATTAGTATAGATTGTGTGTAAAGATGTTTACAATCAGGTATTTACCTAAGTTTGTTTCATGGTCGGCAAACGAGCAGACGTATTACCTGACAAGCAATCAGCGCCGCCCATGGAATGCCATGCGGGCCTTTTAGGGATAAAGATAGGGATAAAGGTTTTGGATACTTAAGTATTAGGGAGAAATGGGGGTAGGGGAAGGTATTGGGCCTCCGTTGTCTATATCTATACTAATATTATAAAGAGGTAAAATTTGTAAGTTTGTATGTAAGGGGTAATCTTTGGAACAGCTGGTCGGATTTCCAAAATTCTTTCACCGATAGATAGCTACAATATTCCTGAGTGCTATAGGCTATAAAACATCACGCTACGATTAAATGGAGCCGAGCACCGGGTGAAACCGCGCGAGAGTAGCTAGTTAACTACTAAACTAAAATAATCTTTGTATGTATTTTATACGACCTCTTTAATATAAAAAGACATACCAACATTGTTTACCTTTAGTTAACCACCTAACCGATAGACCGTAGTTCCGATAATACAAAATCGTCAAATATATTAAGCGGAAGGCCTCGCACCATCCGGACGCTGTCAAGTCCAAAATAATGGAAAACTAAAGAACCGATTATAATGAGACTCATCACTACTTACATTAGTATAAAACAAAGTCGCTTTCTCTGTACCTATATCCCTATGTACGCTTAAATCTTTAAAACTACGCAACGGATTTTGATGCGGTTTTTTAATAGATAGAGTTATTGAAGAGGAAATTTTATATGTATAGTTGCTATAAAAATTATTCTATGTCCTTTCTCGAGTTGCAAACTATGTCTGTAGCAAATTTCACAGAAATCGATTCAGTAGTTAAGGCGTGAAGAAAAGTCAGGCAGACAGAGAACTTTCGCATTTTTATTATTAGTATAGATGGTTGCAAAGTCTCATTAAAATCTGTTCAGTCGTTTCCATGATTTATAAAAAGACAGATTGAAAGGAATTCTTAACTTCTGAACAAACAAAGTTCAAGTTTGTCATAAACAAATAACAAAATTGTATCCAACATCGCAGCTAACACTGGAGCCAACTAAACCTGCACTACATGTATATAGGGTGACTGATATTTAAAACCGTGATTGTGTTAATGAAAACAAACAACTTTATCAAAGAAACTATTTTTCCATACTCAATAGTTTTATTTTTTTACTATAGCAACATTACTGTGTAAAGTTCAAACGAGGTCGCGCGGGGCCTCGCCAGTAACAGCTGATCGAGCGATGCAAGTTCCTGATTCTAGCCTTAATTGGCTGGCTTAAGTGGAGATTCGCAAGAGTAGGAGTTGAAGGAGACTCTGGGGAAGGATGTATCTCAGTAAGGTGCTGGTAGGGGTCTTGACCATACTTCTGGAATTGCTCTGATAGCCGTGGGATGCCTCTCCTTCCCCAAGCAGCTCCAACGTATGTTGCCCCCGTGTCGCTACATGCTAGCGGCCGTTTCCGGGGGCCCATTAATTGAGTTTGCCAGTCACCCCCTGCCTGTTTATCCGTATGTATCAATATTGGTTAGGGGCAGGGGCCATCGTATTTCTATAGTTATCATATCCACCAGTACATAGCAACCCATAAATAACCATATGATTTTTTAACACTTTGTACAATAGTGCTGCATCAACAGGGGATTGTCCTTGGGTGCTCTTTTATAATGCATACAGGGATAATATCCGGCTGATGTCCCATTTCACTTATATTAAAGTTGTTCAAAGGGCCTCTGCGAGTAGTCTTCGACACCTTGTAGGCTTTCCAAGTCGTCTTGTGAATGAGTATAGAACAATAGTTTCTTTTGGAAAGTTGTTTTTTATAACGAGTACAATCACGTTTTCAAATATCAATCACCATAACCACTCACCCTGTATTTCAAATAACTTATTTGAGTCGTAACTTTTTCTTGAAGAAAGGATTAATAGGTGAGGGCGTGGACGGCTTCAGGTTAGTTTTGCTGGGTTTTTTAGACCCGTCAAACGGTATATTAGGACTTTGCCGCACACTCTTGTAGTAATCCACAGGTTGTTGCATAGAATTGTTTTTCAAAACGAATTTTACCTTCTTAGGCGTATTAAAGTGGCTATTCTCATTACTTTTGTCAAATTTGTTGATCTGTTTTTGAAATTGTTTAACTTTATTAACGACTAGTGTTGGATTTTTCGCTGGTTTCGCGTTTTTTTCTGGCTTAGTTATTTTATTTTCATCCTGGCTTGTAATAGGTTTGTTGGTTGTACTACCATTTGGTAAATTATCGCTACTTTTCTGCGCTTTCTTATTATTATTATTTTGAACTTGATTAACTTTAGTCTTATTGGCTAAAGGCTTCTCTTTTTCCGTAACTTTATTTTCTTTAACTTTAGCGTTCTGTTTTTTATTAGTATGTCCATTTTCTAATTTCTTATTTTTATCATTTTCTTTGCTAGCTGTCTCTTGTTTTACTGTGTCATTTTCATTCACTTTTCGTTTCTTGCCTACACTGGCTTCTTTAACTTCATTCTTTCGTTTTTTATTTTCTTTATTACTGTTTCCGTTTTGTTTTGTTTTCTTCGCTTCCGGTTCTTTTGTTTCTTCAATCTGCCAGCCGTTCTGTGGAAGAAAAATTTTCATTTTAGTGTTATGTACCAAATAGTAAAATTATAATATTCATTTTACATTGTCTGGACTTGAAAAGAGACGGGTCTCTGAGTTTGTTTCGGCATTTCTTCTCAGAGTAGTCAGATAGGAAATGCCGGCTTCATCTAGATTTTTACACATATAATATTGACGTGTAATAGTCTTCTTTTATGGCCTATTTGAAAAATAAATTCATTGTTCCAGTAGAATGTTTCATATTAATATAAGTAACAAACAAGTAAATACAAATTTTATTGGTTTTTTTTTTAAATTAAGAAATAATTAATAGATAATAATTTATCATTTATCCCAAAACGATCACTAAGTACTAAATTATACGGTATTGCTATAATCTCCACACTTGTCAGGTTGGCCAGAGATTACCGTTCAAAAGGGATCAGCATCAGGGAGCGTTTCTGCTCGGTCTGTGCCAAATGAGTGGTGTTTTAGCCTGGTTAATGTGAGCCGGGAAAAAGCGATAGTGGAGGGGGGGTTGAAATAAGCTTAGTTCTGCATATCATGTAATTACTCACTGGAGCAGCGCTGCTGAGCTTCTGGCTGGCGGTGTCGAGTTCCTCCACAATGGAGGTCCCCGACCTGCTCTTGGCTAGCAGACGCTTGCGGTGCTTGCGACTCAGACCTGGGAAGATATATTACAAATATGTTATTAGATATTCACAAAGAGCGTAGATTGAGGTCGACAACCGAACTAAAAGATTTTAGGGGTGTTCTTAAATAACGTGACATGATTACGGGAGGGGAGGGATCACGAAAAGCTTCATCTATACTAATATTATAAATAGGTAAAATTTGTAAGTTTGTATCTTTGGAACCGCTGGTCGGATTGCCAAAATTCTTTCACTGATAGATAGCTACACTGTTCCTGTGTGCTATAGACTAAAACATCACGCTATGATTAAATGGAGCAAAGCAGCGGGTGAAACCGCGTGAGAGTAGCTATTTAAGATGTATTATCATATAATTTTTTTTCCAAAAGAAATAACACACAATAAGCTTTAAAACATTTTTTTTGCCTACCCCTATTTTTGATTTAGGGGGAAATCATCGAATGACTTTCCCACCCTGACTGGAGGGAGTAGGAGTGTCAAGAAATCCCTCCGTTCCTTCTCCTGCGATCCTACTCCGAGTTGTATTTATGCTTAACCAGCAACCCCGGCTTCTGACCATCCCCAGAGAAGGTAGGTTGGGGGAGAGGCTACCATGGGGGGAAGGGGATGGGGAGAGGGGGATGGGAATGGAAATGGTGAGGGGATGGTGAGGGAGAGGGGAGTATTGAGCTTCCTCACCCCCTCACTCACACGGCGAAACCAAACGTTATTGTTGCTTCACGCCCGTTGTCTGTGAGGTCGTGATATCACGTATGTAAATAAGAAATGATGGTACAACCTCTAAGAGCGAGTTCGTCGCTGGCCGCGATGAGCTTCTTTTCGAGCGCGTGCAGGGAGTGCGCCGCTTTCTTCTGTTTGAGTGGGGGGGCCGAGCCTTCTACTTCTACTGCGGAGGGGGGCAGCCTGAGGGGGTACTCGTTCGCTGCTAGCTTCTCGAATCTGTAGAGAGAGTATTAGAATTATTGAGTGTGTAAAAATTAAGTACTGTTTAACATAAACTTTACACGAAGAGTATATAAGATAGCATTAGAGGAAATTTTCAAGTGTGGTTTTTAAGTGAGCAGGCGAATTACCTGATGGTAAGCAATCAGCGCCGCCCATGGACATCCGACAGCAGAGGGGTTACGGAGTGCGTTGCAGGACTTTTGAGGATTTAGGGATTGAGGAGTGATGGAAAGGGAAGGATAAGGCTTTTAGTAACTTCATCCACACGGCGAAACACAAAGCTGTGGTTGTTTCACGCCGGTTTTCTGTGAAGCCGTGGTATCACTCCGGTCGAGCCGACCCATTCGTGCCAAAGCATGGCTCTCCTACACTATATCTTAAATAGTATCTCACCGCTGCAGACAGATGCGCCCCCTGCGATGTCGGGCTGCGCCCCCGGCGGCGGCGAGCGCCCCGCGCAGTACCCGCGCCAGGCCGGCCGCCGGGACAGGCAAGCATGGGAGCTCCACGTCCACGCGACCTGCGCGGGGGTCCAACGGTTTCTCACCACTGGAAACGACGAAAAAATACATTTTATGGTTGAGAAGAATACATCTATCACCACCGCCATTCTTCCCGTGGGTGTAATATACCCATTCACGTTAACGTTGTTTCTTATCACTCAGATGTTCCAAGTGAAATAAGTAATTATTTATTTAATTCTAAAAAAATAGTTACAAAAATTATCGAAAATTCAATATATCGATCGATCGATGAATAAAAGTATAGTTATTTTTCAATATTTTATTGTATTGAAACGTCGAATTAATTTATTTAAACTTAGAAAACTACCCAATTACTACTGAACGGATCTGAATGTAATTAGGCACAGAGATAGATTATAGTCTTTTTTGTGAGGGGAAAATCATCAAATTTCTTAATCAAGGGGCGGGAGAGAGTGTCAGACTCTTACTGACTAAAAACCCCCCCTGTTCCTTCTCCTGCTCTGGGCCGAGGTCGCGGTGCCTCATTGCGCTTACCCCGCAACCCCGGCTGAACATCAGCTCTATAGGGCCCCGTCTGTGGTGGTCTATTGGCTCTTTGAGGCGCGCGCGGAACGCTACGCACCGTACGCTCGGGTCTGGTTCTGGTCGGGCGGCGAGCGACCCTTACTCGCCGTCCGCAGACCCGCGCTTTAGTTGACCGGAGATCTCTCACCTGTCCTCATCATCGCTGGCAGCATCACCATTCTGTTCCTGTTCTTCATCATCATCATCATCCTCCGATTCAGACACCAGTTCCAGCGCTTCCGGTCCACCTTCTGGACAGCCCATCTGAAATATCGGGTTGTTAGTTAGTTTTTAGTTGTTTATACAGTCCCAGCTTCGCACGAGTGTAATGCTGATACTAAATCTCTCCACTATTTAATGGATGTTATTATACATATAAACCTTCCTCTTCAATCACTCTATCTATTAAAAAACCGCATCAAAATCCGTTGCGTAGTTTTAAAGATTTAAGCGTACATAGGGATATAGGGATAGAGAAAGCGACTTTGTTTTATACTATGTAGTGATTCTGTAGTTAGTTTAGGAATTAACCAGACCAATATCAGCGGTGGCTTCTATAATTAAGGCTCTCAGACTAAGTATATGACCTCATTACTGAGGTCATCAACTGTAGAGAAAGAACCCCGGCTTGGAGTGCCATTGGGGAATTACAAGAGCTCTAATATAGGTCGTAAATTGACGAGCATCCTTGATAAGTGTACGTAATTACTCATTTGACTACTTATAACACTGGTAAAACCAAATTACTACTGATGTTAGCCTAAAAATATGTATATGATATTTAAAGAAAACGTTTTTGTGGTTGGCAACACTTTAATTCTTAATAATAATTGTTGAGTGTTGTTAGTATGTAATAAGTATAAATATTAGACTAACTAACTACATCAAGTAAATTAATCTAGTTAATATTAATCACGGCTTTTAAACATGTACTTAAAAGCAATATCTATATAATATTATATTGCAATTTTACGGTAGTTTCCAACTAGTCAAATTCAATACTTTTATCCAAATGTCAAAAACTATACTTTTCTATAAAAAATTGTATGAAACGTGACTTATGACGTCATAGTATTTTTGCGTCAAATAGCTTACTTATTTCTTAATTATTAGCTTAAAAATCGAAAACTTAGTGTATCGATCGATCGATGAATAAAAGTATAGTTATTTTTCAATATTTTATTGTATTGAAACGTCGAAATAATTTATTTTTGACCTAGGAAACTACCGTATTCTGACGTGTCCTTAAACGAGCCAATGAAAACTAGCCTAACTCTCCCCGCAACCTTTTAGCGATTTTGTTTTCGTACTAAAGTTTATATACGCGTGGTCTATAGCTTGAGTCGTCTGTGGTCCGCGATTACTACGATCGGAAGGTAAATAGGTGATCCGACAGAGAACTAAAGTTATCGACATAGCCCAAAGGATTAGCAAACTGAAGTGGCAGTGGGCAGGTCACATTGCCGAAGAACCGATGACCGCTGGGGTAAACGTGTTCTAGAGTGGAGACCACGTCTAGGCAAACGTAGTGTAGGGCGCCCTCCACCTAGGTGGATTGACGACATCCGCAGGGTGGCTGGCAGTGGTTGGATGAGAAGAGCTGAACATCGAGCTCAGTGGCGTGCAATTGGGGAGGCCTATGTCCAGCAGTGGACGACAACAGGCTGATGATGATGGTAAATAGGAGTGAGTACCTTCTGCCAGGCGGCGGTGGCATGTAGGTACCGCAGGCCGGGCTCGCTCTGGCGCAGCAGCGCCGTGAGCAGACGGCGCGCCCCCGCGCAGACCGAGGGTGCTTCGCCCCCGCACGTGTACTCGCACACTGGACGCAGCAGCTCCACCAGGCTGGCTTCCGGGATGTCGCCGTTTGACACCTGAGGTAGATAAAATATCAATTATTATCACATCGCCAGCCTATAAGTGGCCACTGCTAAGCAAAGGCCTCTTCTCTTACGGAGAAGGTTTGAGCATTAATCTCGCAAAAATCATTTTTAACTAAATGAAGCACAAGAGACAGGACTGCTGAACGAACTTGGTTGTCGTCTTCACCGGGCACAAGATACCCAGATGAAGAGTGCTGGTGTTAAAGTGTATTCTTGTCTATCTGTAGTATAAGTGTGGGAGAACTATGCTTGGGGCACGAATGGGTCGGCTCGACCGGAGTGATACCACGGCCTCTCGAGAACAGGCTTGAAACAACCGCCTAGGACCAATCCTTCCCCATCCCCAATCCCAAAATCTCCAAATCCCAAAATATATACAAACAACACTTTAATAAATGATTTAGGACTGATTTTTCAATAGACTCATACAGTTTGCCGGCTGCAGTCTTTCCGTCCAAATATAATTTAGGTGTCTTCAAGGCTAGAGTGAATAGGCTCTTAATAAACTAGTGCGCTTTACCATCAACGATTGCATCACTGCTTACCATCAGGTAGGATCGCAGTCAAGCACTAGTTTAAGCAAGAAAAAAAAAAAGTTATCAGAGTAAAAAAAAATGTTGCTGTCACTGTCTTATACAAACATTCTGACGCGAAAGCATCATATTCCCCAGGTAACTTTTATGTAACCATTGAAAAATCAGGTCTTATTATATTACCATACCTTGGCAATTTCCTCCAAGTAGCAGTCCAGGATATGGAGCAGCATGGACATAGCGTTGCGAGCGTAGTGCGGGGTCTTCAGGGCGAGGACACCTGCGGAGGGATGAGGGGAGCTCAGTAGTCTACATTACTGTATTCAGTATTTAGGGGGTCATCTGTGACAAGGATGTCACATATGGTGACACGGAAGGAGCTCAAAAAATCATTAAATTCATATGACGTACTTTTTAGATGGCCGATCTAAAAAGTATGACCTAGCTATGACGATGACTTCTAGGCTAAAATTTATATCCTGAGACTAGCTACTCTCGCGCGGTTTCACCCGCTGCTCGGCTTTATTTAATCGTAGCGTGATATTTTATAGCCTATAGCACTCAGGAACATTGTAGCTATCTAACAGTGAAAGGATTTTGTAAATCCGACCAGCGGTTCCAAAGATTACCCCCTACATACAAACTTACAAATTTTAAAATTTAACCACTTTATAATATTAGTATAGATACTCCGAAACATAGTAGTAATTTTAACCAATTTGAAGCAAATTTCTTTAGGGATGTATTGGAAATCATCCAATGATTAAAACCCACCTCGTTCCTTTTGCCCTGGGCCGAGGCCGCGGTATAATATTGAGTTTGAACTCGAAACCGAGGTTAAATTTTGTGGGTCAAGAAAAAAAAAATCATCATCATTTATTTCCATTAGACCCACTCTTTTTTTTGGTCAGGGAAAAATCAAATGACGTCTCCCGCCCAGGGAGCGCCGCGAGCGCCTCAAAGAGCCAATAGACCACCACAGACGGGGCCCTATAGGGCTGATGTTCAGCCGGGGTTGCGGGGTAAGCGCAATGAGGCACCGCGACCTCGGCCCAGAGCAGGAGAAGGAACAGGGGGATTTTAGGAAGTAAGAGTCTTTTTCCCTAAGTCGTTTGGTCATTTCCCATCACAAATAAACTCTATACATATAAGAGAAGGCAAAATGAAACAGCACGTGTAATGGAGTAGCACTGACCGTCAGTCCCGGCGAGGGTGGCGGCGTAGAGCCGACAGCTGGGAAGGCTCCAGTCGCTCCGCAGCAAGCAGCGCAGGCTGGCGCGCAGGTAGCGACGGACCAACTACACACATACACTTTGTTATATTATATATACTCTCTTATTTAATACTAGCGACCCGCCACAGCTTCGAACGGGTGCAATCCTTATAGTAAATCTCTCCACTATTTAATTATTCACTCTATATATACGGTCGCATCTCATGTATGAGGGTTCAAAACCTGGCAAGCACCAATGTTGTCCGAGTTTTAAGTACTTTCTATGATTATTTAGACATCACTGACATACGGTGAAGGTAAACAAAGTGAGGTAGCCTGGACTTATAATTTCTAATTATAAGTAAGTTTTAAATCACCAATCCGCCTTGAGTAAGCGTGGTGATTGAAGCTTACATCTTCTCCGTGTGAGAAGAGGCCTTTGCTCAGCAGTGGACAAAATTTCTAATCAGATATGAAAACACTTTAAGACACAAAAAAATATACCCACCATAAGAAACTTGTCAGTGCGATGTTGATCTAGACCGTACCACTCAGTGGCTAACACTCGGAGCCCCGCCTTGAACATCAGCATCGCATACTGGAGCTGTGTAGCAGGGAACAGGTCCAGAACACCTGATATCTTTTCACACAGGTCTTCCTGTAAGGAGAGATGAAGATTATGAATTGACGAGATGAATAAAAACCTTAAAGAAAACCATGAATAGCCCCAATAAGGGCCTTTTTTTTTTACTTGACAATGTCCGAGTATCCGCTATATGTATATTAGACTAGTTAATCTCACGCGGTTTCTCTCACTGCTCAGCTCCTACAGATCGTAGCGTGATGTTTTATAGCCTATAGCCTCCCTCGATAAATGTACTAACAAACACAAAAAGAATGATTCAATACTAAACCAGTAATTCCTGGGATTAGCACAAAGTGTTGTTCCGTGCGGGAATCGAACCCGCGACACGTTGCACGGCATTGCACAGCATTGTTAATTGATACATATTATACTCAAGATACTTGTTAATTAACTGAAAAATATAAACAAATAATAATTTCCAACTGACCTGTATGAGTGGCTTGTCCGACATCCATACAGCATAAAACAACCCTTTCCACACTCTGATAAAGTCATCCTCTTTGAACTCTGCAAATAATAAGACCATGTTTAATTGATATCCAAAACAAAGAAAGAAAATTAAATATATAAAGGATATCAAACATTTTAATAAGACCATTGGTATAAAGAGTCAGCATTATGGTCATTCATTCAAATTCAAATTCATTTAAGTATTCATTGTAGATCACAGTTAGGTACATAATACAGTTATTATCATAAAATACAGGGTGTAAAAAGACACTTAACGAAGCCGAAAGCCACGTATTCTACCCATTATTTGGATCATTTTTTTCTTTAAAACCATAGCTGGGACTCCACGGGTTCTCGAGATATTGAAAGTCAGAGATGCATTATTAAATTATTTTTTTGCGCAATCGAATTCTAAGTATTATTACAAAACTTTTTTCCAAACAAACATTACCTGAATTTTCGATGTTTCTAAATAAATTACACTAATGATTTTTATTTTACAGAATTGTTTTGTTGTTGCGAAGTAAAATGTCGACCTACATACTTATCACAGCTTTTTAATGCTAAGCTGTGAACCTACGCACACAATGACACGAAGCCCGTTTGCTTTACATTGCACACAATAAAATTATATTTTTTTTTATACCTAAAAATAAAAGTCGTTTCCCAGTGATAATTTTAGCTTAAGCTACTTAGTTAGAACTGCAGTATGCATAGTTAACGGCTTTGTTAAGTGTCTTTTTACACCTTGTATATCATCACCTTAATAAACTTATACACAATAATTTTAATCAACTTTCAACTATAAGTAATCTCCAATACTACTAGAGAAGTCCAAAAAACCCTTCCTCAGCAGTCAGACTAATAAACAATAAGGTAGACTGATTAGTTGGTAACTATTTTAGATTTAACTTTCATTTCAGTTGTAGTGTAATAATTGTATTGTAGTTTAATTTATTTTTAGTTAAATCATCTTGTCCCTGCATGAAAAAAAAGGAAAATCTAACTATTGTAGGTGTCTATGGATGGTGCAGATTGCTTACCATCAGGTCATATGTTTGATCATTAGCTGTATTCTCATATAAAAAAATATATTTATTTTGGTTTTATCTTTTAATAATTGTTCTTAACTAACTGAGTTTACAATAATAAATACTAAACAAAACTTTCATTTGCTTGATTATTTTAAATCATTGTGCAATATAAATGCAAGAAAATAATAAACAAAAGAAAAATATATTAAAACTATAGAGTTACAGACTAAAGAGGTCAGACTAGTAATGTGTATGTAAACAGCCAACTAAATAAATCAACAAGTAACATGTACTGGAGTATTTTAGTAAAAAACTGATTCTGAACTATACACAAGTTTTAAATTGTAAAACCATGTTCTTATTACATAGATAGGGATGTAAGTAGGGCTTCTAGCGCATGCACGACAACGCCCCAAGCTCCAGACGTAATTGCAGACGAAATCAATACTTGTAAAAGCATTGTTTTGTTTCGAAGTTTAACAAGCATGGGTATTATTGACTAAATTAAGAATTAAATATGCGTTTTTTGGCTAAACTTGAATAGATAGATGTCTAATAAGCACGTAAATATCGTCGTTTCGTTATTAAAACAGCTAGTTTTGACAATATAACATGTTTTTTTACATTTGTCGCACATATGTTATTTTGAGGTTAAGTACTGACAGGCTTCAAAAACTAAGTTTATAGCCCAAAAAATACACTTTTTTGGTCAAATTTTGATGGTATCAGGTCATAAACTTACCGTAGCCTTTCTCGAAACAGTTTAAAAGCCATTTTTTAAGCGCATTCAGCACTCTGTCACGAGTTTTCTTCTCATTTCCAGAAAGTAAACGTGCAAACTTAATTTCTTGGGCTACAACAAGGACTTGTTGTTTTTTAGGTTTAACTTTAATCTTCTTCTTTACTTTCTCCTTCTTATCTTTAGATTTTTCAGGAATTTTCATTTTGGTTGTGTGTATTTAGAAAAACAATCGACCACCATGCGACAATCGCGTTTTCAAATCATTTGACAGCCGCTTGACTTTGACAACCGCGGCGATGACAAATTTTAACTACTGGGTTGCCAATTAAATCGATATTCATAGTTAAAAGTAGCATTTCAAGGCGACCTCAGTTTACAAGAAGAAATTACCATTTTCGTCAATTTTATCTTACCTATAAGTGCCCTTCACATATTAAATGTCATGTCATCGTCATTTTCCAACTGGCTTCATCTCATCACTCTCTCGTTTCCTTCAATTTTCATTACTGATACAGCCATTACTTGACGCCCTTGCCTTGATACCCATCAATCTTTCGACATTGGTAAACATCAGTAGAAGTACAACCATTCTCTCTTATTCATCCATTAGTGACTCATGCATTGATCACACAACACATCATCAACCTATAAGTGCTTACTGCTGAGCAAAAACCTCTTCTCACATTTAGAAGGTTTGAACATTAATCAGAATGCTTGCTCAAGGCAGATTGGTGATTTCAAACTTATAGTACGGTAACTATTTAGGAATCTGTGCTTATAGGGTTTCCTTATAATGTTTTCCATTATCATTTGTCAGTGGTGTCTAAATACGCTTAGAAAGTACACTTAACTAGCTACCGCTGCGCAGTTTGACCTCTGCTCAGCTCCTATTGATCGTTATCTTACATTCTATAGCACTCAGCAACATAGTAGTTGCAGCTATCTTTTAATGAAAGAATTTTAGAAATCCGACGAGCGATTCCAAACCTTCTCCACACTTTATGATATTAGTAGTAGCCAAAAAGTCACATTGGTACTTGCCAGGTTTCGAGACCACACCCTCGTGCATGAGAAGCAGACGCCTTTAACTTCCTGGGCCACCAGGACCATATACATTGATCAAGTTTATTTCATAAAAATATTGATTAGTTACCGTTTAGAGCATTTTAGAGTGTAAAACCAAGGCTCTAAAAAGCCAAATATATGTATACATATATGTATAAGTGTGTTAAGTATGTAAAATTGTGCCGGGGTTTGCGTGGTAACCGCAATGAGGCACCGCCTCGTCCTAGAGCTGCTGAGAAGGAACAGGGGGAGATTTAGTCAGTAAGAGTCTGACTCTCGCCTCACCTTGGACGGGAGAAGCCATTTGATTTTTTTCCTCTAACAAAAACATATTGTAATTGGGGAGTTTTGAAAATTAACTATACTTTTATTCATCGATCGATCGATACACTAAGTTTTAGATATTTTTTAGCTAATTATTAAGAAATAAAAAAAGCTATTTGACGCTAAAATGCTATGACGTCATAACTCAGTATTTCATACAAATTTTATAGAAAAGTATCATTTTTGACATTTGGATAAAAGTATTGAATTTGACTAGTTGGAAACTACCGTCTTGTAGGTTTGCACTCACGACACAGGAGGAAATAAAACAGTTCAAGATAAAAGTATAACATTTTATTAGATTTCGTATAAAGAATAATTTCGTAGGCACTTTTGTATAGCGAACAGACAATAGCCAACAACGGAACATACAAACAGCATTATTTACATTATTATTTCTTTATTTATCATATAAACATATAAATTATATTTTTAAACATTTCTTAAAAATAAATATAAAAAACATTTAAAAATATAAAAAATAGTGTCCCACCGGTATCGGGAACAGGGTCCAAGCTACCGGCGGTCAGGGCTCCAGAGAAAGAATCCTCCTAACAATACGAGCCGTGTCCAGGAGTACCACTTTCTGGATCAAGCCTTTGATCCAGCCACCTAACGAGAGCCTCTTAAGGTGTTGGTCGAGGCTCTTAGCTATTAAGCCATTGGCTGACACGACTATCGGTACAATGACTGCCGAATCCACATCCCACATGTCGACAACCTCGCGTGCCAAGTCAATATACTTGATTAGTTTATCTTTCTCAGCTTTCACGAGGTTCTCGTCATTATTTACATTTATTATTATAATTATATTATACTTTATTTATTTCCTTATACTTATATTACAATAATAATCTCCATATTTTTATTATAACTTCCGTGAGACATACTTAATTAATTATAATGTTTTCGGCTTACTCACGTAATAATTTGACGAGATACTCGACAGTCGCCGAGTCGCATGTCGCGGAATGCTGCTTATGAATATGGGCCTCTAGAATGGCTTGAAACTAGTCGAGTATCTCGTCAAATTATTACGTGAATAAGCCGAAAACATAATAAATAATCTCCATAATTTCATTTTGTTGGAAATAAATACGTATTTCTAAATACATTTGAGCTGATTTTTCAATAGTCAGATAAATGTTATCTGAGGAATAAAATTGTTGCTGTCACTGTCTTATACAAACATTGTGACGCGACAGCATCATAATTATTACCCAGGTAACTTTAATCTAACCATTGAAAAATCAGCCCTAAATAAAATATATTAGGTTTAAGTTTATACATTTACATAATTATAAGTGGCTGATAACAAAAAAAAAATCAGCTATGCTTCGTGAATTCTTGTTATAGAATTTCAACTTTATCTTTCAAGAAATACAGTTGAAAATGCATTAAGGCAGCAAACAAAAAAAAATACGAATTTTTCCAACAATTACAAAAATATAAACAATTTTAATTTTAAAATAAATAAATAATCAACATTGGAATGTAAAGTTCTGAAGCTAAAGCGATAAGGCGTTTGTTCATACGAATCTAAATCTTATTTTAAATGTAATTAGGTCACATTTTTACATGCAGATCATACCTACCTACATAACTTTGTGTCTATCAAAAGATTTTCAACCTATTCTCTTTGTGATAGAGTTGAAAATCCATTGAGTACCGAGTAGTAAAGTAGATTTATTTTAGTATTAGCGGATTACCTGATGGTGAGCGGCGCCGAGCATTTACACCCGCAACACCAAAGTTGTTAGGAGTGCGTTGCCTTTTATGAAAAAATACCGCAATTTCTTGAGGAGAGCGTCCTTTTTATATTTTAACATTCATAAAAAAATCTAATAGCTAAGTGAGCTCTTAATTTAATAAAGATTAATAATTAATGAAAAGTTAACTTAACATAATACTATACTAAGTAAAAAATATTTAACAAAAAAAAAAAAAAACACTTATAATTAATAGAAAAACATGATTAAAATATCTATTTCAAACAATGGAGCTTAGGGAGCAGAAAGAATTATCTATCTAAATCTAGAATAGAATTGTCACCACCGTCACTCTTTCCCCGGGTTTCACATACCTTGTATAGGCTTTGACAGACACTATATATAAACTATTAAAACTGGGATCTCGAATCCCTCTGCCTAGAATGGAAATCATGGCAAAATATCTTATGTAGATAAATCCTCATTTTTAACCCCCGACGCAAAAAGAGGGGTGTTATAAGTTTGACGTGTCTGTCTGTCTGTCTGTGGCATCCTGGAGCCTGAACGGATGAAGCGATTTCAATTTATTTGTTTTTGTATTAAAAGTGACTTACGTGCGAGTGTTCTTAGATATGTTTGACGAAAATCGGTTGAGCCGTTTAGAAGTTATGGGGGGTAAGTGGGGAAGGGTAACCGAAGGTCTGCAAATATACTCGAGTGGGGTCTCAAATGAAAGCGCACTGAAAAGGAATGTTGAAACGATAGGAAATGAAATAAAAAATATAAAAAAAAAAATAGACCCCTGACGAAATAGAAATATGTAGTTGATAATAAAATGTATGGATCGGTCCCCAACGCCACGTTTTCTTTTAATTATTACTTTTTGAAGGAATATTAGATTTTTTGTGGGGGTTTTCTAATTATCAATCATATAGGTTTTATATATATTTTTAAAAGACGGTAAACGAGTAGACGGATTACCTGATAGAAAGCAATCAGCGCCGCCCATGGATACTTACAGGGGTTACGAGTGCGTTTCCGGCCTTTTGGGGACTCGGGTTTTAGATATTTAGGGATTAGGGGAGGGAGAGAGGGTTGGGCTTCCGGTAACCTCACTCACAAGGCGAAACACCAAATTCATTCGAGTGTGGGAGAGTCATGCTTAGGCACGAATGGGTCGGCTCGACCGGAGTGATACCACGGCCTCACAGAAAACCGGCGTGAAACAACCACAGCGTTGTGTTTCGCCGTGTGAGTGAGGTAATCTGAGGTCCCACCTCCCCATCCCTTCCCAATCCTTAATACGTTAAGCGCCATGGGGGTCACCGGTGACTTCCATTAGCGGAGGATTTGCCTTCAACATTTTTCTGTCGGCAGTCAAAGGCTTAAATATCCGAAACCTTTATCCTTAAAAGGTCGGCAAACCACTCGTAATTTTCTCTGTACTTGCGAGTCTCCATGGGCGGGGCTGATTGCTTACCATCAGGTAATCCGTCTGCTCGTTTATCAACCTAACAAATAAGAAAAAAAATTCTTCATAAAAGATAATTCTTCCTAACTCTACACTCCCTTATAATAGGGATGTCTCCTGGGTTAAAACAACAAGATTCTAATTAGACCCTCAGTTAGATTATAGAAAAATACTCGATACGTATTTTTTTATCTGTCCATACGAATAATATTGACAAAGATACAGCCCATTCAAATTCAGGAGTAGGGGCTCGTGACGTCACTCTTTCGTAAAAAAATTACGAAATAATGACGTAGCGTGAACTTTCGCCGCTCTGTAACTTTGTTATTTTAAGTTTTAGAAGCCAAAGAAAAAATACGTATCTACTATTTTCTGGCGTTCTAAAAAATGGATTAATTATTATTTTTTAGTCGTCATCCCTATTCTAAACGAAAAACATTACTATAACTTTTTTCAACAAACATACGTTACCCACTAACGCCATCTCTTATATGAATCGTGAACTAATCGTCGTCCCCGAACATTGATAGGGGATCTGCAAAAACTGGTTCCGTAGGTTTAGCTGGTTCTTTACTGGATGTCGGTCGAACTGGTTGGGGATTGCGTTCTGTAGTAAACAATGTTTTACAAATATTATTTTTCTATTAAAAACTAATGGTAGTTTAAGATGTAAATGACATTTTTTTTAAAAAAAAAACCTTGCCTTGCACTAAGGCAAGGTTTTTTGACTAGCAAGAAAAATGCTCCTCCGTTTTTGCAGTTGTCTATGGGCGGGGCTGATTGCTTACCATCAGATAATACGTCTTTTCTTTTTTTTAAAAACGTTGCCCCAAATTAGGATTTTCTCCTGTGTCGTGGTTGCGGTTACAAACATACAATTTCACATACACATCACATCCAGACCCGGAACAACAATTTGTGGATCACACAAAGAGTTGTTCCGTGCGGGAATCGAAACCGCGACACGTTGCACGGCAGCCGATTGCCCAGCCACCGCGCCAACCGTGCAGTCAATATATATAAAAAATCAGATATGTATTGTAATTATATTTGACTTTTTAAAAAGCTCTCAAGCGTTGCTCTCTTGTAAGCGTTGTTGAGTGCTATTCAAAAGACAATCGATTATTAATTTTAATAAATCTTCTATAATATAAAAATGAATCGCAAAATAAGCGCATAACTCAAAAACGCCAGGACCAATTTTGACAAATCCATTAGCTTAGTATTTATTATTGTCAGGAAAAGGTTCTTATGAAAGAAAATATTAAGTAGAAGGGAAAATTTGGAAAAAGGGATCTTTTCGTTGTTAGAGAGATAGTTGGACCCGTGCGAAGCGGGGGTGGGCAGCTAGTCTATACTAATATTATAAAGAGGTAAAATTTGTAAGTTTGTATGTAGGCGGTAATCTTTGGAACCGCTGGTCGGATTGCCAAAATTCTTTCACTGATAGATAGCTACAATGTTCCTGAGTGCTATAGGCTATAAAACATCACGCTACGATCAAATGAAGCCGAGCAGCGGGTGAAACCGCGCGAGAGTAGCTAGTTTTAAATAATTCAACAACATTACATTGAATAAACAGAAATAATATGTTTCATGCAACTGCTAGAATTTACTAAAAATCGAAAATATTCAGTAATTCTTTAGCCGACTCGGGAATCGGGAAACGCGACCACCGATTGCACGTGAAATTGTATGTTTGTAAATGCACCCACAGTCGAAAAGAATACTCAGAGTGGGGCAATAATTATGAAAATCTCAAAATCTTAAACCCAAAAAAGTTTAAAAGCAAAAAAGTTTAAAAGTCACAGAAAACCGGCGTGAAATAACCACAGCGTTGTGTTTCGCCGTGTGAGTGAGGTTACCGGAGGCCCAATCCTTCCCCTCCCCCAATCCCTCCTCAATCCCTAAATCTCCAAATCCCTAATCCCTAAAAGGTCGGCAACGCACTCGTAACTCCTCCGTTGCGGGTGTCCATGGGCGGCGCTGATTGCTTACCATCAGGTAATCCGTCTGCTCGTTTGCCGACATATTACATAAAAAAAAGCAACTCACCAACAGCTTTCTTTGTTTTAACACCGAAAAGATCATCATCATCATCATCATCGTCATCACCAAACAACGATCCCTTCACCACTTCTCTCTTTATCTCTTTCTTTGTTGCTTCTCTATCTTTCTTCCCCTTTTTAGCATTTCCAAAAAGGTCTTCTTCGCTATCGGAATCGAATATAGTATTTTTCTTTACAGGCACTTTAGCTTTAAATATGTCATCATTATCATCGTCGTCATCGAAAAGCGATTTCCCATCATTTTTTCCATCAACCTCTTTATAAACTTTGCCTGTTTTTGAGTCTTGATTTTCAGTTTTCTGACTAGATACAGCTTTTTCGACTGGACTTGTATTAAATATATCTTCGTCGTTAAGTATGTAAACGATTTTAGACTTTATATCTTTTGAAGACGATTCTTTTTCTTTATTTTCTTTATGTTTTCCAACTAATACAGCAGTTTCAGTGTGTTTTTCTTTATTTTCCTTAGGTTTTACTGGTGTTTCAGTTTTCACATCTTTTACAACTGGTTGTTTATCAACATATTTTTCAGTAATTTCAGGAGTTTTAGCACTCTCAACGATTGGTTTTGCAGTCTTTTCTTCAGCTGCTTGAGAATGTTTGTCTGGATTTTCAACGGTTGTAATTTTTACTTCACTTTCTTTGCTAGGTTGAGTGATTTCAGGTACATTTTTAGGCGGATCGTCTATGGAGCTAGAATTATCTGTAGAGTCTTCTCCAAAGTCTATGGCAGACTTCCTGACCGCTTCTTTTCTCGCCCGTCTAGTTGAGGGGCGGCGTTTGACCTGAATTTTAGCCCTTTCCTTAGATATTTTATTATCTAGTACCTCTGAATCAGGGTTTTCTTCAAAACTTACAGATTTTACTACTACTAGCGTAGAATCTGTGTTTTGAGATTCAGTTTTGATTGGTTCTTGTTTTTGTACTTCTGAGAGGATTTTGGCTTCAGTCCTCTGAGTTTCAAGTACGCTCTGAGTCAGTCCATCTGTTTGATCGTTCGGTTTAATTTTTTTAGGCGATGCTCCTGGCAGTAGTGCGTTGACATTAATATTAAGACCTACTTTTAGTTTGCCAACTTTCTTTGTGTCCGTAGTCTTTGCTTCTTGAGCATTTTCTAGTTTATTTACAATTTCAGGCTTAGCTTTGGGTATTTTGAAAATATCTTCATCTAGTTTAGAATCTTTTTCATGTTCTTTTACTGTATTTTCAACTGGTTTTACAGTTTTTACCGGAGAGAAGAGTTCGTCGTCTGAAGTTTTACTTTTTACTTCAGCATCCTTTTCAGGCGTAGGCTTACTTTCAGTGACTTTAAATAACTCTTCATCAGATTTAGAATCTACATCTAAATCTTTTTCACTAACAACATTCACTTTTTCATGTTTTTCAGTAACAAACAATTCATCATTGGAACTCTTTATATTTGACTCTTGGACTTTATCAGTTACTGGGATAACTGTAGGTATTTCAACTACCGCAGGTTTATTTTCAAGTTTTTTCGAAAAAAGATTATCATCATCAGATAAATCTAAAGCCGGTTTCTCTTTCAGACTAGGTTTTGGAATTTCAGGTACTTTGAATAAATCTGCTTCATCATCATCATCTGATAAAGGAAATGATGATTTTGGTCTTTTAAACATGTCATCGCCTCTATGATCGTCATCAATTTTAGTGTCTCTTAATATTTCTACACGTGCTACTGTGTTAAATATATCTTCTTCGTTTTCTAATTTAGTAAGTTTATCATTATTTTCGGCAACAACCTCGTGAACTGGTAAAGGAGGCAAATTCTCATTCCTCGATACTCTAGCCTTAGGTACTGAAGAAAAAATATCATCATCAACATCACTGATTTTCCCGAATCCATCATCGGGCGGTTCATCAGCGAACAAGCCAAATATTCTATCTTGTGCCGGAGTAAAATCATTCGGATGATCTTCGAAAACATGATCATTCTTTTTGAAAAATAGACTTTCATCGTCGGAGTCATCGTCGAACAGTGCGTTAACATTCTTACTCTTCTTCGGTTCTTTGGGTTTCTCAAAAACTGGTGGTTCTGTTACAATATCGTTAAAAATATCCGTCTCTGTAGCTTTCCTGGGTTCTCCATTATTGTCAGTATCAGTCTTTTTATCGAATTCAGGTATCGTGTCAGTAATTTCTGGCGGTTCCGTTTCAAATATTAGTTCAGTGTTTTGTTTCTCTTGAGCTTTTGTAAACAGTTCATCTATATCTTCTTCTAAAGTTGTTTTATCAAAAATATTCTCTTTCACTATGGGTTTGGGTTTATTATCGTTTGCTAAATTATTAGTAGCTGCTGGCTTTTCAGGTTTTGGGGGTAAATCATCGAAATCTTGATCACTAAAGTCGTTATTTGACTCTGATTCGCTTTGTTCTATTTTATGTATGTGATCAAATATTTTAGCTGCACTATTACCAGTAATATCTTTATTAATAATTTCATTTTTACTATCTACTATAACATTTTCACCTATATCTTTTTTTTCTAGTTCACTGACTGGTTTGGAATCCTCAGTTTTATTATCTATTTTAATTGCTTTAGAATTGCCATTTCCAGTTAAATTATCATCCTTAACTACTTCTAAATCATCAGTTTTAACTGAGCTTGACGGTTTAACATCATCATCAATAATTACTTCATCAGTTTTGACTAATGGTTTTTCATTTACTGCGATACTAGATTTGACTGCTGCAGCGAACAGATCACCATCATCATCGTCATCATCATCAAATAATGACGGACTTTTGAATACATTTGATGTATTTTGTACAATTTTACCACTTTTTCCATCATCAGCCTTTTCTATATTAACAGACGTATCACTTTGTACTTTCACATCATTACCTTTAGTAGTCTTCAAATCATTGAATAAATCATCGTCATCATCATCGAATATACTTCTAGTTACTTCTTTATTTGTTCTAGAAGATTCTGTTTTAGCTTTATTCTCTTCTACTTCTTTGACTTTAGGTTTATTATCTGGTTTCTCTTGCAAATTATCAGCAAATAACTCATCATCACTGTCGAATAAACTTTTCTTGACGCTACTACTGGTAGCCACTTCGATTCTCGTTGGTTTAGAGGGTGCAATTTCTGAGAAAAGATCATCATCATCTTCAAATATAGATTTATTGTTTTTATTATCTTTGGGAGGTACTTTAGGCACATTACTAGAAAATATATCATCAATATCATCAAATAGATCATCGCTAAACAAATCAACTTTTGGTTTCTCGACTTTTTCATTGTTTCTATCTTTTTCTTTATTCTTCTTTTGGATTTCGTTTTTCAAATCTTTTGTTAAATCAGTTTTATCTTTGGCAACCTTTCTGCCTTCGGATCTGGCGAAAAGATCGTCGAAAATATCTTTTTCTGTCTTAATTTGTTGTTTAGGTTGAGTTTCGGAACGGGAGTCAGTGTCGCTTTCGTCACCGGATGTAGACGATTTACGTTGGTTCCTTTTTAAGATGGCGGCGCCTATACTCTCCGTGCCTTTGTTGCCGAACAGCGAAATACCGCCGATTGGTTTCTGGAAATCAAAAAGTGTTTTTATAAAACATGTTTTTGTTTTTTTAGGACACTATTAATGTTTTTCTATTGTAAAATATTTTTAAGTTATTTTTTTACAGCCAAGAGTCGATTCCGCGGTGTCTGACATCTATAGTGGCTACTGAAACCTGTTATTCATTTTCTATATATTTACAAAAATCAATGCCACTTTTCGTTGTAACGTTATAACTCAACAATGCCTTTACCGATTTGGCTAATTTTGGTTATGAATCATTCGTGGGAGTCCAGAAGAGGTTCATACGTAGAGAAATTTAAAAAACAATGTAAAATAAGTGTAAAATCTACATCCACGCGTACGGATCCGCACGCGACTGCTGTATAATAATTTAATATTTCTTATACTCATTCTTTCATTCATAAATCCACATACTCTCTCTCTCTCTCTCTCCGCCTAGGGAAACGAGACTACAATACACAATACTCAACACAATACACACATGAAAAAAAACAAATATAATACAAATAAACCAAATAAGTCAACTCAACACTTTACTTAGATACATTTTTATGTATATAGAGTGCCGTCATACAGCTTAGCATTTATTGTAATGCAAACTATACGTGTATACAGAATTACAGCTCAATGTGTTGAAGATAACTCACTCAATATTTAGTAGCAAGATTCTACTTCACATACATACACTAAAAATAAATGAAAGCTTATACTTTAAGTGTGGGAGAGCCATGCTTCGGGACGAATGGGTCGGCTCGACCGGAGTGATACTACAGCCTGACAGAAAACCAGCTTGAAGCAACCACAGCGTTGTGTTTCACCGTGTGAGTGAGGTTACCGGAGGCCCAATACTTCCCCAAAACCAAAATCTCCATAACCCTTATCCCCAACAGTTAGGCAACGCACTCGTAACTACTTCGTTGTTCCGGATGTCCATGGGCGGATTGCTTACCATCAGGTAATCCGTCTGCTCGTTTGCCGACCTATCACTTAAAAAAAAGTATAAATCTCCATACCTTCACGCCTCTATCCATATCAGGATCAGGAGATGGCTTCTCATAGTTCTTAATGTCTTGCTGTTGATTATAAGCAGTGTAATTATCATCATCATCGCGATGGGAATTTCTTTGTTGTACAGGAGCTGAAGGTTGTGATGATTTGGTGGGACGCTAGGGAACAAATATAGAAATTATTCACGGAAATATACTATATTTGTAGGGATTGTAAGCGCCTACACTTGGATGATAGTTGATAGGTTGACTGCTTCTCGTTAATATAGACAGGAAGATCGTGTAGAAATGATAAATTAACACAAACTTCTCTAACGAGAATGTATTGATACTTATTGATGCAAAATGATAAAGTGCAATGATATAAAATGCTTATGATACAACGTAAATAGGCGTACAATATGCTAACGCGCGCCGCGACAGTAACTATGTATAGAAAACAATTTTAAACCTGTACAGTTTGTCTGTACAATGTTAATAGGTCAAGAAATGAGCGTGCTCTTTCTAATGATTGCTTTGGTGATACGGGTGTCTATCAACGGCGCTGATTGCTTACCATCAGGTGATCTGACAGTGAAACAATAAATTCAAAACACGTCAAATAATATATTAAATAAAAAAATTATTATTAAAAAAACAAAATACCCGACTGCACACTATAAAAAGAGTAAAACAAGCCCCACAATACAAATTTACTGAATATAATTTATAAATGTTGATGGAAAGCATCGCAGGCGGGGACCAACAGAGGCTTATTTATAGTCATTTCTGTTGTGCACCATTTAGCAGAATTTTCGTTGGTGGCGGTCAAGGTGGTCCCCGCCTGCGATGCTTTCCATCAACATTTATAAATTATATTCAGTAAATTTGTATTGTGGGGCTTGTTTTACTCTTTTTATAGTGTGCAGTCGGGTATTTTGTTTTTTTAATAATAATTTTTTTATTTATAACTTTTTAGCTGTTTTTATTTAGAAAAAATATTATTATGTCTTTATCCCGTGGGACTTTTAGGATAAAATGTATCCTATGACACTCCCGTAATCAAGACAAATCTAACGATACCTCATACATCAAAATCCATCAAGCCGTTTAGGCTACAGGAGGTCACAAAGGAAAAGACATACATACATACTTACATACACTCGAAAAACATTACCCTCCTTCTTTGGCAGTCGGGTAAAAACTAAGTGAAGCCTGCATTTTCTATTTGAATTATATTTACGTATCATATAATATTTACTACACTGAGAAGAAATGTCGAAATAAACTCAGAGTTTCGTCTCTTTTTGCTCTAAATCCATTTAAAAAAGTAGCCTTCTGAGAATAAAAAGCCTGATTATGTATGATCTATCTCAGCGTAAATGTTTAAATTAAGTTATAAACTATGCAAACATGTTTTCATATAACATAGGAGTTTATAAACATTCCAAGGTAAGTATACATTTTGCCGTGCAATATAAGAGCAGCGTTCCTAGATACTGGACTAGTTTCAAGTAACGCTCGCGGCTCATGGCTCATATTTTATTACCCGACTGCCAAAGAAGGAGGGTAATGTTTTTCGAGTGTATGTAAGTATGTATGTATGTCTTTTCCTTTGTGACCTCCTGTAGCCTAAACGGCTTGATGGATTTTGATGTATGAGGTATCGTTAGATTTGTCTTGATTACGGGAGTGTCATAGGATACATTTTATCCTAAAAGTCCCACGGGATAAAGACATAATAATATTTTTTCTAAATTTCCCTTTAAAAAAATATGTATGCGGTATCATTAGATTCATTTCAATCACGGGAGTAATTAATATAGGATACGTTTTTTCTCAAAATTCCCACGGGAACATGTTAATTCTGCGTCAACGCAAAGCAACTCATGCGTTAGCAAGCAATAAAAAAATTATTATTAAAAAAACAAAATACCCGACTGCACACTAAAAAAAGAGTAAAACAAGCCCCACAATACAAATTTACTGAATATAATTTATAAATGTTGATGGAAAGCATCGCAGGCGGGGACCACCTTGACCGCCACCAACGAAAATTCTGCTAAATGGTGCACAACAGAAATGACTATAAATAAGCCTCTGTTGGTCCCCGCCTGCGATGCTTTCCATCAACATTTATAAATTATATTCAGTAAATTTGTATTGTGGGGCTTGTTTTACTCTTTTTTTAGTGTGCAGTCGGGTATTTTGTTTTTTTAATAATAATTTTTTTTTAAATAGACCACTTTATAGGCACAGTTTTAAACGTGAAATGTAAATTCTGATGGAGAAGAACGAGCAAGAAACTCCATGGTTACTCTTTTACAATCAATTTCATTTATGTTACATAATTCAGTCGGTTTTGTTATGTGACAACAGTGTAACACTAATACTCAGTCAAAGCATCGGAAAAAGAAAATAAAGTCAACAAATATTCAGACAGTGTCGAGTTGACCAGTCCCAACTGATGGCGTCCGTTCACGAACATGACACATACACCAGCATCGCCCAACTCAACCATATTATAAGAGTATTTTAAAGCTGTAGAGTCTGTTTGTTTGAACGCGCTAATCTCAGGAACTACTAGTTCGAATTGGATAATTCTTTTTTTTTATTTTTTAATCCATTTATCGATGAAGGCTTTAGGCTATAAAACATCACGCTACGATCTGTAGGAGCTGAGCAGCGAGAGCAATCGCGGGACAGCAGCTGGTAAGTTAATAAAAGTTCTCTCACCCCAAGACCAGTGAACAGATCCTCTGCATCATCACGCCGTTGGAACATGTCATGGCGAGGCTCGCTGGCCGCCTGCCGGTGTATCTCCGCGAATATGTCGGAGTCTTGGCTGTCGGAATGGTCTGATAGGGGGGGCGGCTCGTCAGAGAATATTGTACCTGGGAAAGTAATACTTATTACAAGACTTGACGTGACGTGACAGAATAATATGACGTGACATAGTGTGTCATGACTTGACGTGACGTGTTATGACATAAAATGACGTGACATTGTGTGACATAATGATATGTCGTGACATAGTGTGACACGACTTGACGTGACGTGTAATGACATAAAATGACGTAACAACATTGTGTGACATAATAATATGTCGTGACGTAGTGTGACATGACTTGACGTGTAGTGACTTGACATAATAATATGACGTGACATAATGAGACATGACGTGACGAAGTGTGACATGACTTGACGTGACGTGACCTAGTACAACGTGACCTGACATGACATAGTGTGACATGACGTGACGTAACGTAAAACTATGACTCATAATATCAGATAAGCTTGTAATATGTGATACTTACTGGGAACTGGATCCTGTGGACGGTAGATCTTCCTTGATGCTGGTTGCGGTGGCTCCTCAGGTGAAGGTTCTCTTTCCACCACCTAGACAGAAAGAGAATAGTAATTTTACATATTGAAGAGCCAGAAGAAGAAGAAAAGAAGAATATGTGTTACACTTATTTTTAGTCCTTATGTTTATTTTTTTTATGTTCATCCAAATAAATATTAGTGTTACACTTTTCTCACATAATTGAACCAACTGTTTGTAAAAGGAATCTGTATGTGAAACTGATTTAAAAAGAGTAACCATGGAGTTTCTTGCTCGTTCTTCTCCATTGGAATCTACACTTTGGAACGAGCAAATAGCTTCACTAGAGGACTGACCGACAGACTGACACTTAATATCTTTAAGTTTTGTTTGACGTTCAAAAAAGCCTGTAAGGGTCTAATTGAATTTTTTTTCCCATGCTTTGACGCGAATGGACTCGACCGGAAATCTCCAAAACTAGGGCATCGAGAACCGGTCCTATTTTAGGAACCGGTTCTTTCGGTTCTAAATTTTAGATGGCGCCGGGTACCCGGTTCTTTCGGGTTTTTTTCATAAATTACATTTGAAAAGTGTCTAAATAAAATACATTTTATTGGTACTCATTTTTATACATTTTTTGAATTAAACTCAAATTACAACATATTTTTTAACTATTTTGTAACTTATTTTATGTCCAAAATTTGAATTTCGCGGGTTGTCATGGAGCATTTACTTCAATGGCCCTTGTTAGTTTCTTAAAGATTTATCATTAATAATAAATTATAACGTTATTTATTGGTTTAATGGTGAAATAACTGCATATATTCTGTCTTATATTAAGTTTCGATAAATCCGCAAGGCAGCTTGTGGCGAGCTGTTGGGCAGTCACGACCTGACTCCCGGAAGGTGTCTTGTTCTTCATCTCCGGTAGCCTCGTAACGAGCTAGAGTGAAAACTGATGAAGAACAAGCCTTCCAACTTCAATTTTGCCTTAATTGGCTGGCTTGAGTGGAGATTCGCAAGAGTAGGAGTTGAAGGAGACTCGGGGAAGGATGTAAGGTGCTGGTAGGGGTCTTGACCGTACTTCTGGGATTGCTCTAATAGCCATGGGATGCCTCTCCTTCCCCAAGCAGCTCAACGTATGTTGCCTCCGTGTCGCTACATGCTAGCGGCCGTTTCCGGGGGCCCATTAATTGAGTTTGCCAGTCACCCCTGCCGGTCGTATGTATCAATATTGGTCAGGAGTCACATTAAGTCCATAGTTATCATATCCACCAGTCCATAGCAACCCATACCCATAACCCTTTTAATTATTACCACATTACGCAACAGTCCTGCCTCAACCGGGGATTATCCTTGGGTGCACTTTCTTTCTTTGTGCATACAGGGATAATTGCCGGCTGATGTCCCATTTCACTTAAAGTTGTTCAACGGGCCTCTGCGAGTTGGTTTCGGCCTCTCGTACGCCCTCTAAAGGTCCGGAATCCTGTGATCCCGTGAACGGAAAAGTATAGAGATATTATTTTTAAAATTTTAAGAGAGACCCGAAAGAACCAAAAAAACCGGTTCCTCGTTTGACAGAACCGGTTCTATCATTGTCTTCCAGAACCGGGAATTCCCGGTTCTTTTGGAACCGGTAAAAACCGGTTCTCATGCCCTATCCAAAACCCTAATCCCTAAAAGGTCGGCAACCCCTCCGTTGCGGGTGTCCATGGGCGGCGTTGATTGCTTACCATCAGGTAATCCGTTTGCTCGTTTGCCGATCTGTTATTTATTTTATTAAAAAAAATGAAATATTCTGTATGCGTTGCCTTAGATGGTTTTGATTCACAAATCAGCCCGGCAGATGGCGCTGATTGCTTGGAAAAGCATGTGATCTCGGAAACGGCCCTAACGATTTCGCTGAAATTTGATATGTGGGGGTTTTCGGGGGGGTCTGTTAGTACTATAATATACATATAAGAACCAACCTTGTTAGGTAGTGTAGCGCCAAGTCTGCGTGCGATGTCACTAGCGACATCTGACGGCGTCGGCCGCGGTATGGAGCCCTGCTCTGATGGAAGCGAGGAACTGGTCTCCGACACCTGATGAAGGAATGAAGACACAGTTAGAGATTTTGAAATTGCCTGAAATATTTAATTATGGTCGACAGCCGACCGGCTCGATCGGGTGATACCACGGCCTCACAGAAAACCAGCGTGAAACAACCACAGCGTTGTAATTCGCATTGCGAGTGAGGTTACCGGAGGCCCAATCCTTACCTTTCCCCAATCCCTAAATCCCCAAAATGCTGGTACCGTGCTCGTTACTCTTTTGGTGATATATGTGTCCGTGTGTGGACGGCGCTGATTGCTTACTATCAGGTAATCCGAGAGATATTATAGAGTGATCCTTTTCCAAAATCCCCACTAGAAACAACCCTGGACTTAAGTTTTTGATGTGATAGGTTTGAAATCGCCAATCCTTGTAGAGCAAGCGTCGTGGTTAATGCTCAAACCTTATCCGTATGAGAAGAGGCTTTTGCTCAGCATTGGGCACTTATAGGCTGATAGAAAGAAGTATACTCACATTAGCGTGTATTGGCGGGGGTGGGGGAGGGCGGGGCGTGGTGAGGTCCTCCGTGTCGGAGTGGGAGTACTGCTCGCTGTCCTCCCCGCGCTGACTTACTGAACTGTCACTGTCACTCGCTTCCACAACCAGACCTAAGGGAAAAGGGAATAAATAGTAAATATAATAAAATATTACTCGAAGGAGCCATGCTTCGGCTTATAAACCGATACCACGGCCTAACAATACGCCAGCGTGATACTAATACAGCGTTATGTCACGCCGGGTGAATGAGAAACAGTGGAGGCGCAATCTGTCAATCACTGATTGCTTACCATCAGACGGATTACCTGATGTTAAGCAATCGGCGCCGCCCAAGGACACTCGTAGTGCCAAAGGAGTTACGAGTGCTACCGGCCTTTGAGCTTCCAGTAACCTCACTCACACGGCGAAACACAACGATGTAGTTGTATCACGCCGGGTGTCTGTGAGGCCGTGTTATACGGTCGAGCCGACCCATTTGTGACAAAAGCATGGCTCTCCCACAGTTCCCCCAACATAAATTAATCTTATCCTCAAATTATTACTTTTCGGGGCAGCTCGACAAGTTTCTAGTCACACCGTAGCCCTTAATTTTTTACGTGGACACGTCAATTGTTTTTGTATTCCTTCCATTTCACTCCTTCTCTTTAAAATTAGTAATTTTTTTATTGGATTTAATGTATTGTCAGGATAAGGTGTGTGTATGAATGAAAATAAATATTAATATATTATAATAGTTCTTACCTGCATGCCACTTGTTCTTCCAGGGCTGTGAACCGATGATGTAGGGTAGTGGGCGCTCCCAGTACATGTCCTTGGGCTTCAGGACCATCCTGAAATAAATGGGTATTTTCCGCGGTCAAAAATAAATTCCTTCAAGATAATAATCGTATTTTATTGGTAGACATGACGATATAAATAACTTTAGATTTTTTTTGGTTACATTTAAAAAATTGTAGTTATCCTTTCTGATCCAAAAATGTGATAACGTCACATTTCTGAGTCGGCGCATTACTATGGCTATGGATCTATGATCTATATAGATCTATATATTGGTAGGAGGAGGCGACGCGCCGGCCGAGTCTATAAAACTCACGGCCGCGCGAACGCCGTCCTTCTTTCTTCATACACACTCGGCTGATCAACGTCAAAGACTTCGGGCTTTCTCTGTTATCGCACCGCGCCGGTCTTGATGTAGTTTGCGAAATATACCTATGTTTTGTGCAGTCTCCTGTTTCATTGAAAGTAACCCGAAAGAGCTACAACATCTGTTTTCCCTACCACATTCATAGAACTGTTAAGTTTTTGAAAATTCAATAGAAGTATTGAATTTGACTAGATTGTTAAATACAGTAGTATTTAATGAAGACTTATTACGTTAAGGGAGCTTCAAAGACCCAATATACCACCACAGACGGGGCCTTATAGGGCTGATGTTCAGCCGGGGTTGCGGGGTAAGCGCAATGAGGCACCTTAGCGAGGTGTCGCCCTGGGCGCGAAGTCATATGATGACTTTTGCTGGGAACAGCTGTGAACCGACAGCTCTAAGTGTAGGAGAACCATGCTTCAACACGAATGGGTCGGCTCGACCGGAGTGATACCACGGCCTTACAGAAAACCGGCGTGAAACAACCACAGCGTTGTGTTTCCCCGTGTGAGTGAGGTTACCGGAGGCTCAATCCTTGCCCTCCCGGAATCTCCAAATCCCCAAAAGGTCGGCAACGCACTCGTAACTCCTCCGTTGCGGGTGTCCATGGGCACAGGGACAGGGACACATATAACAATGGAAGAGTTACGAGTGCGGTGTCGCCCTTTCGGGGATTTGGAGATTACGGGAGGGCAAGAATTGGGCCTCCGGTAACCTCACTTACACGGGGAAATACAACGCTGTGGTTATTTCACGACAGTTTCCAGTGTTTTTCAAAAAACTTAAACATAAATAGTCCCGAAGGCTCAGCGCTTACCTAGCGGGCACGTCGTCGTCGGTATCAGATTCAGTGTCGCTGTCCTGCAGTATGGTTATAATCTCGTGTGACTGCTCCAACACCGCTATACTGCGCTTCAGACACGTCAGCTCATCTTGTATTTCTTGTTTCGGAGATTCCTGGGGACAAACGAACCAAGTCAATGATTTTATTTAAGTGTGGGAGAGCCAAGCTTCGGCACGAATGGGTCGACTCGACCGGAGTGATACCACGGCCTCACAGAAAACCGGCGTGTAACAACCGCAGTGTTGTGTTTCGCCGTGTGAGTGAGGTTACCGGAGGCCCAATCCCTGCCCTTCCCCTTTCCCTTCCCGATCCTTATGGATACACTAATCTGTTATAAAGAGGTAAAATTTGTAAGTTTGTATGTAGGGTGTAATCTTTGGAACCGCTGGTCGGATTGCCAAAATTCGTTCACTGATAGATAGCTACAATGTTCCTGAGTGCTATAGACTATAAAACATCACGCTACGATCAAATGTAGCTGAGCAGCGGGTGAAACTGTCCGAGAGAAGCTAGTATCACATAATGAAAAGCGTGGCTTTCTGACACTCCCTATCTACATAATAATATATAGATTAGTATGTCAATAATATAAATGGCATCAACCGACTATCCGAAAAAGTGCAGTAATGAGTTTCACAATCCTTTTTTGATTGTAATGAAATACGTTTAGTAGGTCACTGTGATACCTACTTAACATTTCGTTATTGTATGTCAAAAAAAGTAGCTAATAAGTGCAATGATTAAGCATTTACTAATTGCACGAATTTAATTAAAAAAAACGGTTTTTTTTTTGTGAGGGCAAAATCATCAAATGACTTCTCCCGCCCAGGGCCGGGCGGGAGGGAGTGTCAGACTTTTACTGACTAAAAACCCCCCTGTTCCTTCTCCTGCTCTGTGCCGAGGTCGTGGTGACTCATTGCGCTTACCCCGCAACCCCGGCTGAACATCAGCCCTATGGGGCCCCGCCTCCTTCTTTGCGAAAAAAGAGAAATAAAGGGGGGGTGGGGTAAGCAGAGGTACCCACATATTACTGTTGTTGCCGCAAATTAAACGAGTTTTTTTTATACATATAATAGGGCGGCGAACGAGCTGACATATTACTTGAAGGTAAGCAATCATAGACACTCGCATCAACGGAGGAGTTATACGTGCGTATCCAACTTATTGGGGATTAAGGACTTGGTGATTTTGGGATTGGGGGAGAAAAGATTGGGACTCGCGTTCTCGCGCGCTCTGCCACAGTGTGTCGCGAATTGCGTCGGCTCGAACGGAATAATACAAGCTGCCTTTCAATCCCCCAATCCCTAATCCCAAAAAAGGTCGGCAACGCACTTGTAGCTCCTACTACTAAACATCTACTGATGATGCTTACCTTGGTTGCAGGTGGCTCGGTGGTGACCTCATCATCATCATAGACTCGGCTCTCTATGAACTGGCTGCTGCTTAGTGCCATAAACCTGAAAAGAAATATTTTTTTTTTGTTATATTTCTTTGTTTCTGACAGCCACTTATATACTATGTGTTATTCCAGATTATAGGGTTGCGGGCATGGTGCGGAGCGAGAGGAACTGGGAAGCCGTCTCAGCCGCCGAGGAAGGAGGAGGCAGCCAGCCGCCGCAGTAAGCGACAATCCGGGTATCAGGGATCGAGAGACGATCTCCGGCCGGCCACTGTGAGCGCGGTCTGGATGGCGAGTGCGGGTAACTCGCCGCCCAAACAAAACCAGACCCGAGTGTACGGCGCGTAGCGTCCCGCGCGCGCCTCAAAGAGCCAATAGACCACTACAGACGGGGCCCTATAGGGCTGATGTTCAGCCGGGGTGGAGGGGTAAGCGCAATGAGACACTGCGACCTCGGTCTAAAAACAGGAGAAGGAACAGGGGTGTTTTTAGTCAGTAAGAGTCTGACATTCGCTCTCGCTTTTACCTTGGGTGGGAGAAGTCATTTGATGATTTTCACCGCACAATTAAAGACTATCTCTAAGCCAAATTACAGTCAGATCCGTCCAGTAGTTTCTCTGTCAAGTCATCGTGACTAGTTCAAGCACCCGTTTCTCAACCATTCGAAACCTAGCAAGTAGCAACGTGAGAAGTAGAATGTGTTTTCCGAGTTATATGTTCTTTCTATGATTATTTAAACACCACTGACATACGGTGAAGGTAAACATCGTGAGGAAACCTGGACTTGTAGTTTCTAATTTATAATTTTGAAATCGCCAATCCGCCTTGAGCAAGCGTGGTGGTTAATGCTCAAACCTACTCGGTTTAAGAAGAGGCCTTTGCTCAGCAGTGGGCTCTCACAGACAGGTGATTTTAGGTGTACCTTTCATAGATAGAAATAAAATGACAAAACAAGATCGCTTAAATTTGACTACACAATTAGCGTTATTATGGCTGAGCAACCAAATGTCGTGCAAAGTATCGCGGGACCGATTCCCGCACGGAACAACTGTGTGTGATCCACAAATTGTTCTTCCGGGTCTGGATGTGATTTGTATGTGATAGTATGTTTGTAAACGCACTAACGATAGAACGAAATCCAAGAGCAAAAAGCTCATTTTTGTCTTGGAATAGGGAGGCAAACGGGCAGATGGATTACCTGATGGTAAGCAGTGGGAGCCGCCCAAGGGTATACATAGCCAAACTAGAGGAGTTACAAGTACTTTGGCGGGCTTTTAACCAGGAAACCGCTCATTTCTTTAAATTATCGTACTCATATTATAAATGCGAAAGTTACGATGTTTGGATGTTTTTATTACTCAATCACGCCAAAACTGTTGGACGGATCTGGATGAAATTTGGCACAGGCATAGAAGACACTCCGGAATAAGACATAGGCTACTTTTTAACAACGTACCACGCAGGTGAAGCCGCTGGCGGAAGCTTGTCTTACATAATAATGTAATAAGAATGAAAAACAAAACACTAAAAAGTCTTAAATAAATGCGCTAAATGCAGAGAATCCTAATTATAAATTATAATTGCGCGATAATTTCGTCGGAGATGCACAGACTGTGAAGCTGGTAGACGTTCACTTTTGAAAACTAAGCAACTATTTAAATTAAAATCCATTTAACATAACTGCAAATCCTTCTCTAAAAACAATACGGTAGTTTCCAACTAGTCAAAAACGATACTATTCTATGAAATTTGTATGAAATACTGAGTTTATGACGTCATAGTATTTTTGCGTCAAATAGCTTACTTATTTCTTAATAATTAAATAAAAAATATTTAAATTTTAGTGTATCGATCGATCGAAGAATAAAAGTATAATTATTTTTCAATATTTTATTGTATTGAAAGGTCGAATTAATTTATTTTTGACCTAGGAAACTACCCAATTCGCATCACACCCAGACCCGAAACAACAATTTGTGGAACACACAAAGAGTTTTTCCGTGCGGGTATTTACGTTAAATATCAAAGATACAAGATAAGACCGGATTAATATAACGCTTCACAAGAAACCGGCGAGGAACAACCATAGCGTTGTGTTTGTTAGGTTACCGGCGCGGCCCAATATTTCCCTCCCCCAATCCCTAAATTTTCAAACCCCTAATCCCCAAAAGATCAGCAACGCACTTGTAGCTCCTCCGTTGTTGCTCATGAGCGGCGCTGATTGCTTACCATCAGGTAATCCGTCTTCTCGTTGTCGATCTATCGTATAAAAAAGAAGTAGAATTAGTTCAGAAGATAAAACTCACTGGTTGTTTACATTTTGAAGGCTGATGCTGGCGTCGTTGAGGGCTGTGGCCATCTTCTCCAGCTGACTGTTCGCCTCCTGACATCTGGACAGCAGTTTCTGGAAACATAACCCTCATTGTAGCTTGGGATTGAGGTGTAACTTATTAATATTATAAATGCGAAAGTTACGATGTTTGGATGTTTGTTACTCAAACACTCCAGAACGGCTATTCGCAATGATATTATAAGTAAGATGGTATAGATAGGTTACACAAACAACATTCGATTTTCAAAAATGGCACACTTATGCACACATGAATAAAGCGTATGACACACGTTAATGATTCAATAATCGCGAGTGAAAAAGAGACAAATATGTATGAAAAAGTGTGGCTAGTTAGCCACATTTTAATGTATCACTTGCTGAGCGCTTGTAACCTATCTACACCTTTTTACTTACAATATCATTGGCATATGACACACTCCGGAATAGGACATAGGCTACTTTTTATGAACATACCCACAAGGGCGAAAGCTAGTATTACTTAACTACACAAACCGGTCAGGAACGATACGAATTTGAAGAAAACCACGAAGGATTTCTGCCAAAAAAATACGTATTTACTGTCGACCCCCCTTACATTTATATTTAGTTTTTATTATTTCTTGTTATAGCGGCCCCACAAAATATGTCATCTGTTCAAATTGACACTGGACTGCACGGTTGGCATAGAGGCTGGGCAACTGGCTGCTGTGCAACGTGTCGCGGGTTTTATTCAAGCACGGAACTCTTTGTGTGATCCACGAATGGTTGTTTCGAGTAGCATGTATATCTGAATCTGTATGTTTGTAAACGCACCCACGACACAGGAGAAAATCCTAGTGTAGGGTAATGTGTAAGTACAGGGTCGATGTTTATTACTCTCTCACGTAAACACTACTGAACGGATCTGAATGTAATTTGGCACACAGATAGATTATAGTCTGGAATAACATATAGGCTGTCAGAAACTAGGGATCTAATAATAATGCAAAATATTCATTCAATAATTATTATTTACATAAGAAACAGGAAAAACCAATGAAAATACAATATTGAAAATTAATTAATATTTAATTAAATACATTCAGCGGTCGAATACAAACCGCAAACAATAATAAATTTATTTTTAAATTGGTAACACGTAACATGTATATATTTACCTATTTGTGTATATATTTATCTACTTATATAACCTACATTACATTGCTTCCTTATGACAATTTTAATTAAAAGCGAGGGTAAACTGAAAAAAAAATCGCGGGTAGTTGCCTAATCAACAACAAAATAAATTTGCTCCAGTTTAAGTTATAAATAAAATTTATTTATCAAACTTACATTACTAATTAATGTATAGAAGTAAAGCTTAGATAGAGCCACCTGCCGGCAAGTGTTTTCTCCTTTCTTCTTCTTTGTGTTTTGTCACAATTCACAAAAAAAAAAAAAAAAACTTTTTACTGTCTACTGTCATCCTGACAACACTAATGGATCCTATCAACAACACTGTCGCTGGTCTTATGGATCTCTTCAATAAGAGAATGGCACAGTTTGAGGCACAGTTGCAAAGAGAACCAGCAGAGCCATCCAACACATCAAACCTGGCTGCCGAGTTCTTCAGCTTCAGGGTTTTCATAACTCAGGCCGTCACCACTCTGCAGCAACAGGTAGAACTGCTTGCCAGGAATATTGACTCCATGGAGATGCGTGGGCGGAGAGGCATCTTGTTGCTGCATAGTGTCCCGGAGGATAAGGAGGAGGATGCAGCGCAACTTGTTGTGGATGTTGTCAGGGACCGCTTGAAGGTGAGTGGCTTCACATTAGCAGACATTAAGAGGAGCCATCGGATGGGAAAGACTGCTTCTGCTTCAAGATCACGGCCAATCTTAGTTAAACTCCGGGATGTAGCTGTCCGTGACAATATTTGGTTTAAGAAAACCCAATTAAAAGGTGCCGGTATCACCATTTCGGAGTTCCTGACCAAGTCGAGGCATGACTTATTCATGGCTGCGCGGAAGAAATTTGGTGTGAGTAAGTGCTGGACAAGAGACGGCTGCGTTTATGTAATTGCACCCGATGGGTCGCGGCGTCGCATTACAACCTTCGCAGACATAGGCACTTTAAAACCGCAAGATGCTATGAAGTTCCCAATAGAGCCTGAAATCGTCGACACTCCACAGAAGCCCATCATTGCTGGTAGGTCCAAGCGTGCTGCTGCCATCAAAAAGTAATTTCCTATCTTTGTTGTGCTGGGTCCGGGTAGTATTACTTTTATTTTATATTTTTACATTAACACACCCACTTTCTAAACTGTGTTAAGTTTCTTTCTCATTGTTTGTTTTTTTTTTTTTTTTTTATTTTGTTTTATATGGTAAAATTAAATGATAATATTGCGTACAAGTGGGTGCAATAATCATTGACATAGGAAATATATGGACTTGAAATACCTACGAAGAAAAGGTGCCTACCTACAATCCAAAATGTCGCATAAGATGGCTGCCGTTGCTAGGGTTGTGCCGACTAAGTATTTAACGAGTATCGATACAATTTGAGTAAAAGTTCTACGTAGGTATAGTTTTAGGGATTAGCCAGCTGATTAACGGTATTTTTTATGGGAAATCATCTAATGTCATCTCCGGCCTTTTTCGAGACAGACCGTTACTGACTAAAATCAACTCCTGTTCCTACTTTGCCGTCGGCCTAGCTAGAGCCCGGAACCCGGGGTTAACTTGGTCTCTTGATTGGCTAATGATTTTCTCAAGTCGAATTTGTATTCATATAATTCTACGTAAAGCGTCTTTTAAAAAAATAGGACTGTGTTTATGAACAGCGTTTAATGGAATGGTGAAATAGAAAAAGATAGTGTTTGTTAAATGTTTATCTTTATATATGTGGTAAACCTGTGGGTATTTGTGAAGTGCTCGCGCACAATTTCGGCGCGTCTGATTAAGCGATGATATCTTCGAAACTACGTTAGCACAAAATAGATATGTAGTGAAGTCAATCTTATTGTATGTATCTCACTTTTTATTATTACGCTTGGTGGTCGCACTGGGATCGTCGCCAACGCCGCTCTGTCAATCGCGCCCGTATAGTTATAAAACACGATAATTTGAACTTCTACTTATGTAACTAAAACCAATACCAAAATACTGACGTCTTACTTTAGCGTTACACAAAACTGCGGAAACATCCATTGTTAAAATAGATTATTTAGTATAATATATGTTGAATTTTAAATGGGAGATTATATCGATACTTTTGTGAAATGGTACGTAACTATGCCATATTGACATATTATTGTAAACAACAATTTTTTACTAAAACTGTCTCACAGACAGAAATAAAAGTAAATATATAAACTTTGGCAATAGATTAACGTATCCGTGACATTTTTTTCTATCTATGTGGATTATTCTAAGTAATATTTGATGAAAAGCGTTTACTAACCTATACAAAGACAATTGAGGTTGATTTTCGTTCTTTTTTGCACCACACTGCACAATACAACACACAGGCATATTGTTTTTTTGTTTCACTATATATATTTGAAGTTTAAAAAAATGGTTCTTTGTAATTTACTGAAAAACCGCAATAATTTAAAACATAAACAACCGTTTGACAGGACAACTACCATGAAACTCAGGTACTCTGAGCGCTTAAGATGGCGGACATGGCACTTACCTACAACTTTGCTAATGTCAAAATGATTTGTTTCCATATTAAGCAACAACTTAAATATTGTTGTCCCTTTTGTCTAATATAATTATTGCCTTAGAAAGAGTGAGAAAAAATGATATTTCATAGTTTGTTTCATATTTCCCTCATATTTGTATAAGCATGTATACTTCTATAGTAACACGGCGCCTCTATATATTTTCTATCTCAATGGCAATAATAAAATAAGATAGGTAGATGTCAAACGAGTTAGAGACAGCTAAGTGCAACTGTCACTTAATTGCACGACAGGTATTCTCGTCTTATTTACTGACACTCATGTTGGCTGTCAAAATTTTATAATTTCAGAACTGATATTCTCGATAGTGTTTTTGATGGTGCCTTTTGGAAATTATTATTATTGTCCGAAACTCGAGACCAGCATAACAATTAGAGTTTTTACGTTAAAAAATATTTTTTACCAAAATTATTTTTATGTTAGAATTCTTTTTTTTTCTTCTCTTTTTCTTTTGCTGATTATTATGTTTTATTCTTCAAATATTCATAAATTGTACATTTACCTAGCACAGCCGGCAGGTGGACCGTTTAACCGTTAGCTAAGTGTATTTTTATTATTATTGCTATTTTTATTTAATTTATATTTTATTTTTATTTTCTACTATTTATTTAATATTTTATGTCTTCTCATAACGATAGTAGCGAATCGGATGCTTTCTTTTCAGCCAATAGTAGCGATGACAGTTTCGCAAGTCTACCTTCACTTTCAGATACATTAATTGCGCAATTTTCTGATGTTCCTAGGAATTTTAATGTGGTGCACATAAACGCACAGAGCATTCCGGCTCATTTCCCCGATATGCTGGCAAGTTTTGACTGTAAGAATGTTCATGCAATTCTTGTCTCTGAGTCGTGGCTTAAGCCCTGTCTCCCGACACCGGCTTATATGTTGCCAGGTTTTCAGTTAGTGAGAAATGATCGCACTGTTGGGGGCGGTGGCGGCGTTGCCATATATCTCCGCTCATATATTTCTTTTTCAATTGTTGATATGTCAACGCAGCCACCTCCCCCAAACGCTGGCGAGCATCTCTTTCTGGAACTAAATATGAGCCACACCAAAGTTCTACTTGGAGTCTATTACTGTCCCTCACTACGCATAAACTTCTTTACCTCTTTAGAACAACTCTTGGAAAATGTAGTAACTTCTTACAGTCACGTCATTATCATGGGTGATTTTAACACCTGTCTTCTTAAAAATGATTCTCGATCTGCATCTCTTAATTCTGTCATACATTCTACCAACTTATCAATACTTCCTCTAAATGCAACTCATCATTTCCCTAACTGTATTCCTTCACTTCTTGACTTAATTTTCGTATCATCTTCTGATCACGTCGCCAAACATGGCCAATGTTCGGCTGATGCTTTCTCTTATCACGATCTTATCTATCTTTCTTATAAAATTCGTCCTCCCAAAGCAAAGGCAAGAATTCTTCTGCAGCGCAATTTTGGTGGCATAAATCTTGAAAATCTCCGCGAGTGCGCCGCTAATACGGACTGGGCATCTGTTCTTGATGCTGAGTCAGTAGACGAAAAAGTAGTAGCAATTTATGACGTCCACGCACCTGTTCGCGCGATTAGGGTGAGACACCTGCCATCGCCTTGGCTCACAAGCGAAATAAAGCAGTTAATGGCCCAGAAGGTTTCTGCTAAATCGAGATACAGGGCTCGTACTACGCCTTCCAATTGGGAAAAATTTGTAAATGCACGAAATCTCTGCAATAAGGTGTGTAGAAACGCACAACGCCAACACTTCCACACATCTGTTGAAAATGAGGATCCAGCTAAGGTCTGGAGATTTCTTCGATCAATGGGGATTGGAAAGTCACGTACCGATAAAATGTCTCAAAATATAAACATAAATTTGCTAAATCGTCATTTTTCATCTTCGTCTAATTTCGACAGGACAACAAAATTAAAAACTTTAAGTCATCTCTCCAGTCTTCCAACCCCTGATTTTTCACCTTTTTTCTTCCATCAATTGGCCGCTTGTGATGTTAAGAAGAGCATCTTATCCATCACCTCTGATGCCGTTGGAAGTGACTGTGTCAGCCGTAAAATGATCCTCCCTATCCTTCCTGTAATATGTCACATCCTTAATTATTCTATATCCACTGGTGCTTTTCCGAATTCCTGGAAAGAGGCCCAAATTACCCCATTACCAAAAAAATCCAATCCCACATCCTTTTCCGAGTATCGTCCTATTTCCATATTACCATTCCTATCCAAAGTCTTAGAACGTCTTATTCATAACCAGCTAAGCTCATTCCTATCCAAGAATAGACTTCTTAATCCCTTTCAATCCGGTTTCCGTCCTGGTCACAGTACTGTCACAGCGCTAGTCAACATTACTGACGATATCAGACTAGGTATGGAAGGTGGCAAGTTAACGGTATTGGCACTGCTAGACTTCAGTAACGCATTTAATACCGTTGACTTCGATATCTTGCTCGGTATACTTAGCTCCCTTAACATATCTCCAACGGCCATTGATTGGTTTCGTAATTACCTGTACGGACGCCGGCAACGTATTCGCATTGAAGATAAATACTCTTCATGGTGTGAAACGACTGCTGGTGTGCCGCAGGGTGGCGTTTTATCTCCATTGCTCTTTGCTATATTTATTAACTCTATCTCAAACAATTTGCTTTCCTCCTACCACCTTTATGCAGATGATCTTCAAATTTACTCGCAGGCTCCATTGGGAAAATTACCAGAGGCTATTGGAATTATTAATAAAGACCTTTCCCAAATAGCCGAGTGGAGCAGATGCTACGGGCTTAGAGTCAATCCGCTAAAAACCCAGTTGATTGTTATTGGTAGTTCACGGATGGTTTCTAAAATTGACTGGTTTGACCTCCCGCAGGTTATTTTTGATGGCATCCAGGTACCGTTTAGCAATAAGGTCAAGAACTTAGGAGTTTACATTGATAGCAGAATGTCCTGGGAGACGCAGATTCAGGAAACCAGTCGACGGTTATTTGCATCTGTAGGATCCTTAAGACGGCTGAAAAACTTCTTGCCCATTGCCACAAAGGTTGCGCTTGCACAATCTCTCCTTCTTCCCATTCTTGACTATGCCGATGCCAGCTATCTTGATCTCAGAGAGGACCAACTTAATAAACTTGAGCGACTTCAAAATGTTTGTATAAGATTCATATTTGGTTTGCGCAAGTATGATCATGTGTCAGAATTTCGTGCTAAGCTCAAGTGGCTTCCAATACGACTTCGTCGGAATGCTCACATACTTTCCTTACTATACAGTATTCTTTTTCACCCAACGACTCCTTTTTACCTCAAAAATCGTGTTGAGTTTGTCTGTGACACGCATTCAGGATCTCTTAGGTCATCGGAAAACCTGAAACTGAAGATGCCAGTACACTCCACGTCTTTTTATGATAAGTCGTTTGCTGTACAGGCCACGCGTCTGTGGAATGCTTTGCCAGTGACGATTAGACGTGCGCAGTCGCTAGCAGTTTTTAAGAAAATGGTGAACGATCACTACATGGCTCAGTAACATATCCATCATCGCTATATCTATTGTTATGATTTATTTATATATATATATATATATATATATATATATTTAATTTCTTATTTGTTTATTTATTATATATATATCCTTAAACTATGTTTTAAACTATTATAATGTATATGTACGCCGTAAACTGCCCGTATCAAATTCTTCTACAGTTAAACTCCATCCAAAGGTTGTCTGGAAGAAATTGCTTTTAAGCGATAAGACCGCCAATTGTACTATATTTTGTGTTTTTGTTTCCTATGTTTTTATTATTATGGTGTACAATAAAGAATATTCATTCATTCATTCATTCATTCATTCATTCATTCATTAAACTGAATTAATCGATATAGAAATTAGTAGTGGAGTTCTTACGGTTGTTTTTTTTTTGATAATCATCAAAAAATGACTCTTCCCGCCCAGAAGGACTGTCAAACTCTTATGCTTGGGCCACACTAACGGGAAATGCCATTAATTATCGCGATAATTGATGATATTAAACGATGCAAAACATACCTTAAACTATTTGTTTAGTGATCAAATTACACCTACGAATAACGTCAATTATCGCGATTATTAATGGCATTTTCCGTTAGTGTGGCCCAAGCATTACTGACTAAAAAACACCGTTCACAATAACGTACAATCGTCCGAAAAAAAAACAAATAAAAAAACACCTCTGAATACTCGTTTAGAAAATAAGAGACAAAACGTAGTAGATATAGGTTCATATTATTATGTGTGAAAAACATTGCGTTCTCTCGCGGGCAGGATCAAAATACTCAATTAAGTATTCAGATAACAATGTTTATTATTTTATTCTTATCAGCTCGATTGGCTAACATCCTTTTTATAAACTTTTTTATCTAAACTACATACTAACACTAGAATGCAGTTACACAAAAAGTATCACTACATAGTATAAAACAAAGTCGCTTTCTCTGTCCCTATATCCCTATGTACGCTTAAATGTTTAAAACTACGCAACGGATTTTGATGCGGTTCTTTTAATAGATAGAGTGATTGAAGAGGAAGGTTTTTATGTGTAATAACATTCATTGAATAGTGGAGTAATTTAGTATTACCGTTGCACTCGCACGAAGCATGGGCGGGTCGCTATATTTTTAATAAAATAGGGTTCCCTAGTAAAGTGACCAACTGATGGTAAGCAGTCAGCGCCGCCTTTAGATATCCAGAATATCAAAAGAGTTACAAGCCATTTTTGGGTTATTAAAAAATGTTGTTTTCAGTTTTATGTCGCTACGCAGGAGTCAGTTCGTTGACAGCCGTGTCTAAGATGATGACGACGTCACCACTGAGCCTCCCGCACCCAAGGTAAGCATCATCAGTAGATTTTTTTTTGTTAAGTGATAGGTCCGCAAACTTGCTGACGTATTACCTGATGGTAAGCAATCGGCGTCGCCCATGGACACCCGTGACAACAGAGGAGTTACGAGTGCGTGGCCGACCTTTTAGGGATTTAGGGAGGCGGCAGGGAAGGATTAGGCCTACGGTAACCTCAGTCGCACGGTGAAACACAGAGCTGTGGTTGTTTCACGCCGGTTTTCTGTGAGGCTGTGGTATCAATCCGGTCGAGCTGACACAACAGTACTGAATTTTGGGTATATCTACTTGGCTATCTTCAAGCACCAAATGCCTCATCATAGCTTACCATCATCTTATTGAATGATAAAAAAATATGAAGAACTTAATCTTACCTGATGTGTAGACTGCAATATGTTGAGGAGCTGCTCATCTCCAGCCAGGGTCCAGCTCGGAGCCAGCTTCCTCAGGGAGTCAGTGGTGGAATCATCCATAATTTGAGCTTAGCTACTGTAACAAACAAATATTACCTGACGATAAATACAGTCAAAGCCAAAATAATTTATTTCAATTAAATTTTTACAGGCACATTTCAATGTTAAACGAAGGTATAAGATAAAAGTGTAAAACAAAGCTTAAATATAATATAAAGTGTCAGTCTGTCGGTCAGTCCTCTTAGTGAAGCTATTTGCTCGTTCCAAAGTGTATATTCCGATGGAGAAGAACGAGCAAGAAACTCCATGGTTTCTTTTTCATACAGATTCTTTGTAACATTTTTAAGTTTGGTTGATTATATGAGAACTGTTGTTAATTACAAAATATAGAAATTATACCACTGCAGCCATCTCGTGGCACTCCTGTGTAAATAGATGTGTCTATGGTCTCAAACTTAATTTTTTGTTCTGTGGTCTTAACTATGTAGACTGTTGTGTCTATGTTTTTTAAATAAATTAGTTGTTAGTTATCCCCCATAACTGACTGACTGTTTTATTATAAGAACAGTGTAACACTTTTTATACATATATTTTAGCAGAGAAAATTAAACAGTGGGTACAAGCAGTAAATATTACTTATAAGATAAAAACATGGACTCCCCAGGGCACAGTGTCTAGGCAACTGGCTTCTGAGCAACATGTTATTTGATTCTAAAGTGGAAAAGCTTATTTTATTTGATCCACAAATCATTGTCTTGTGTCTGAGTGTAATAAACCCATCCACAATTAAGGAGAAAATCCTAGTGTAAGGTATGTTTAAAAAAACTAATTTAATGTTATTCAGTTATAAATTATGGAATGCTTTGAATAAATTTTGTACCCTTTACATGTATATATTACATGACATACTAATTTCATTTTTGGACCTGTATTACAATGTCAGGATAGGTGCTATGTAACAGATAATTCAAAATACAGATAGTAATTTCTTTTTACTATGAACTGTTTATCAAAACACAGTATATTTTATGATGGTATTAAAACAGACCTTTTAAATTCAAATTTCTCTAGTAAAAAGTAGCCATCCAGGACATGACTTTTGTGTAGATCATCCAAGCACTATATACACAAATATTCAGCTACTTATTGACCAGGATTACAATAAGAATCACTCTAAGAATAAATAGACAAACATATAATATCAAATTACAAAAAACCACAAGTTTGTAACTTAATATAACTGCTCAAATAAAATACCTTCAGCGTATTATAATCATTAAATGTTGAGCAACATTCTTCATCACTTCACAACACAGTTTTCGAGTTTAATAAAATATAACAACTCTATGAATATGGCTCAAATTGAAAAGGTCAACAAATTTATTAGGTCGAATATTAACGTGTCAAAACTTCAATTGGGAATCGTAGGTGAATCACAGCACTGAATTGAGATAAAATAACAAGCGACCGCGAGTCTAATAACACAGTAATCAACATAAATTATGCACTCAGTGATCATCAATTTGTATTTCAACTTTCAGTGATAAAAACTCACCGTTATAACGGCATAAGCAATTCGCACATCACTGGTAAATAGTTTTAAGAGTTATTTTAGTGTGTAAAACTTTCTATATTTTTTAAATTAATAAAGTTTTCTTTATTTATTTCTAACAGAAATTAAAGCGACGAGTGTGATCAACAAAAAATATTATGACAATAATGACATGACACTGCGACAGTCAGCGGATGTTGACAGTGACAGTTCTAGTGTTGCCAGACCACGTCTAGGAAATTACTACATTGTAAAAAGTTTTTATTAACTGTTTAAAGGTCGGCAAACGACCAGACCGATTACCTGACGGTAAGCAATCGGCGCGGCCAATGGATTACCACACCAAAGGAGCTACGAGTTCGTCGCCAGCCTTTTAGGGATAAGGATTTCAAATATTTTAAGATTGGAAAGAGATGAGGTGAGGGGTAGGGGATTGGGCCGCCTGTAACCTCACTCACACGGCGAAACACAACACTTTAGTTATTTCACCACCTTTTTCTGTGAGGCCGTGGTATCACGTACACCGGCTAAGCCGACCCATTTGTGCTGAATTTTGGCACTTCCAACACAAACTTCCTTAACGAGTTAAAAAAAGGAGATTTTGACGATTAATCTGTTTTGATTGTACTTTATACTTACCTATTTTCTTTAAATAAATCAAACTATTTTACCTTTTTTGAATTACTGAGCTTAGGAACGAACGAAATAAAACTTATGACTTGAAAAACATTGGTTTATAATTTAGAAATAGAACATAAACAAGCAGTTTTTAAAATAAAATATACGTTACCTAACTAGTAATGGGGAAATCAAGCTGCTTTATTTTTAGTTATAAAGTTATTTTAGATACCATCTTATTTCTTGGTATTCATAAAATGAAAGTACTTGCTTTTATTCAGCATTGTTTATTTGTAGTTTAAGAATACATAATTGTACTTAAGTGTGTTATTCATTTTTCTGAAAGTCAATAAACGGTTGTTCCAGATACAAGACAAACATGTTGTTTTGATAAATAGTTATTACTCATAAAACAATATTTATTATCGTTTGCAACACTGTCGTTAACAGATTCACTTTTTCTACTTTCACGCAAAGAGGCGTAAATATTAATGCGTACAGCCAATTATTTTTTATTACAACTTGAATTAAATGATAACAATAAATTTTAACAGTAATGATGTTGTTAAAGTTATTTTGCAGAAATCAACATAACTAAGCTCGATTTATTTTCACTTTTTGGATCATATTTAATTATAAGCACTTCAGCTGACACCAAAGGATGAAATACTACGTTACTTATTTTTTTTTTCCTTCAATTTTTGTATTGCAACACATACATACGCCAAGTTGCGAGCCTTTTGGTTTTTTCATCGGATAATACGGAAGTTTCGAACAACTTTTGTTTTCTATGAAATTTGTATGAAAAACTGCAAATAGCTTACTTATTTCTTAATAATTAGCTACAAGATATCTAAAACTTAGTGTATCGATCGATCGATGAATAAAGTAGAATAGGCATAGGTAGTATAGTATAGTTATTTTTCAATATTTTATTGTACTTAATGAAACGTCGAATTAATTCATTTTTGACCTAGGAAACTACCCAATTTTCGGAGATTGTTCGTGGAAGCTACAGGCCTTGATTTCCCCTAGTCCTTTCCACATCATAATCATCATCACCAGCCTATAAGATGCCATGTTCACAATATGAAAAACAAAAAAGTCAAAGTCAAAACCATTTATTCCAACTATTCCAACTAAACCATGAATAGGTACTTTTGAAACGTCAAAATAGAGAAGTAGTCTGTCAGTCTGTTCGTCAGTGAAGCTAGGTGCTCGTTCCAAATTGTAGATTCAACTAAATCAAAATAAAGAAAAAACACAACAACCTACCAACCTACTGAGCAAAGGCGTTTTCTCAGACACGGTTGAAGAATGAGCATTAATCACCACGTGTGCTCAAAGCGGATTGACACATCAACAAGCATTCAAATAGACTAAAGCTATTCATACGAAAGAATGCAGGTGTAGATAAATCTAGAACTCGGGTGTATAAATAAAATAATGCAGATATTTCCTGCAGCACGTCACGTCGCGAAGGAAGTCGTTAGGTACACGAATTTAGCAGTGTGTGCCTGTGCCACGTTTTTTCTTTATGTGTTCTTTCGGCAAAAGACCTAACGGATTGCCTGATAGAGATAGTAAGCAGTCAGCGCCGCCCATGGACACCCGCAACAACGAGTGGGTCACCAGCCTTCTTTTGCGGTTTCGGATATTCAAGGATTGGGGATAAGCAAGGATTGGACCTCCGGTAACCTCACTCACACGGCGAAACACAACGCTGTGGTTGTTTCACGTCGGTATTCTGTGAGGCCGTGGTATCACTCCAGTCTAACCGACCCATTCGTGCCGAAGCATGGCTCTCCCACGCTTAGTGTATTATCCATATAAAAAAAAAATGTTTTTTTTCTGCCCGAATGGCAACCGAGTCAATGTTGTCTACTGTATTGCATGTATCAAATCATGATCAACCCATAAGTACCGATTTCAAACTTATGATTAGAGATTACAAGTCCAGGTTTCCTCACGATGTTTACCTTCACCGTATGTCAGTGGTGTCTAAATAATCATACAAAGTACATATAACTCGGAAAAAGTCACATTGGTACTTGCCAGGTTTCGAACGCCCTCATGCATGAGAAGCGGACTCCTTAACCTCCGGGCCACCACGACACTACACATATTACGACATATTAAACTTAACATTAATTATTAAGTTAGGTACAATCTTCGCGTTCTTATAAAAAGAAAGAAAGAAAATGCATTTATTCGCATCAGATATGAAAGCCGGAAAAATTATATACATATAAACTAGCTTCCGCCCACGGCTTTATCCGAGTGGTATTTTGATAAAAAGTATCCTATATCCTATGCCTGTGCCAAATTTCTTATAGATCCGTCCAGCCGTTTTGGCGTTATTGAGTAACAAACATCGAAACATCGTAACTTTCGCATTTATAATATTAAAAAGATAAGATTAAAAACCGTCTCTCAAGGAACAAAACCTTTGTCTTGTTGATTGTAACCAGTTTTATCGCTAAGTCATCTCGCTAACTTAATTAGTAATTAATTGAGCAACAACAGAATGGAGAGTGGTAATCATAAAATCAATAATGAAGGAAGTGAAGTTAAAACTCTCTCACGGCGGCGGCCGAAAGTTTTGCTCTACAAATTACAATGCAGAGGTGAACGATTGACTATAATTGTTGTGGTCTAAGGTAGAAGCGGTAAGAGGGATATAAATAAACTAGCTTTTGCACGCGACTCCGTTCGCGTGGAATAGTGACTTCCTGCAGATTTTTGGTATATATAAAACTATTCTAGATGTCTTTTCTCGAGTTCCAAACTATGTCTGTACAAAATTTCACAGAAATCGATTCAGTTGTTTAGGCGTGAAGAAAAGACAGACAGACAGAGTTACTTTCGCATTTATAATATTAAGTAAAGAATAAAAATATTAATATGTGAAATCCTGTACAACATATTATTAAACGGGTATTAACGCGAAAAGTTATTGTTTAAATACCTTTGAAAGCTAGCTTGAAGTTTTATTTTCAAGTTTACAAGTAAGTACCTACAGCGTTTGTAAACAGTTTAAAAGTTTTTCAATCAACAATTCCATTGAGACTTACCTACATAATTATAGATCAAATCAGCAGCCTTTAAGCGTCCAACGGGGCCTAATGCCTTTTCTTACACGAAGAAGATTTTTACATTAACCACCACGCTTGCTCAAGGCGGATTGGCGATGTTAATATTTTTATTAGAAATTATTTATAAGTAGTGTGAGAATGAGTAGTATAGTGTATAACTATAAGCTATGTTATGCAGTATTCATTGTAGGAGATAGATTAATTTAGGCCTACAAGATTTTTTTTATTTTATTAAATAGGTCGGCAATCGAGCAGACGGATTACCTGATGGTAAGCAATCAGCGCCGCCCATGGACACTCGCAAAGGAGGAGTTACGAGTGCGTTGCCGACCTTTTAGGGATTAGGGATTTGGAGATTTAAGGATTAGGGGAGGGGAAGGATTGGTCCTCCGGTAACCTCACTCACACGGCGAAACACAACGCTGTGGTTATTTCACGCCGGTTTTCTGTGAGGCCGTGGTATCACTCCGGTCGAGCCGACCCATTCGTGCCGAACCATGGCTCTCTCACACTTAGATACAGGAGACTGTACATTTGGAAGAAGCCCTCAGGCATTACGGAAAGACAAGACTTTAACTCTTCGCTTTTTTATATGGGACAAGCCCGCTTCAACCTCCAAACACCGCTGCAATTCCTATACAGCACGATCTACGGTAGATACAACTATGAAAACACCGAAACGGAGTTCGCCGCGTCCCAGGGACATGAATGACTGTCTTGGATTCCGCAACGCATGCTAGCCCACAGCGGCTGGCGTGAAACAACCACAATGTTTTGTTTTGCAGTGTGAGTGGGGTTGCCTGATGTCCAATCCCTAAATCACCAAAACTTTAATCTCCAAAAGGTCGACAACTTACTCGTAACTCTTCTATTGTCCATGAGCGGTGATGATTATTGATGATGTAATCAAATAATCCGAAGGCTCGGTAGCCGTCCTATCACATAAAAAAAACAAGACATTATTCGCTTATCGCCCTCGCTCCCGCCACCGCTTACATCTCACACCGCGGCCGCTCGGTGAAAGTATAATATTTATTCGAGCCTGTACTGAATACTGTCAGATTAGCTCGGATTGTGAGGACACGGAGAAATGGAATGAAAGGTGCCGTGAACTTGGTGATGCTGCAGAGGTACTGAGAGGTATACAGTACTTATTAAAATGAATGTTTGTCTGTCTTTGAGTGTTAGTAAAGAAGAAATAAGATAGTTTTATTATGTAAGTGTAGAGAGCCATGCTTCGGCACGAACGGGTCGGCTCGACCGAAGTGATACCACGGCCTCACAGAATACCGGCGTGAAATAACCCACAGCGTTGTGTTTCGCCGTGTGTGTGAGGTTACCTGAGGCCCAATCTCTCCCCTCCCCTTCCCCTATCCCTTCCCAATCCTTATATCCGCAACCCCTATACCCAAAAGGCCGGCAATGCACTCGTAACTCCTTTGGTGTTGCGGGT